TCTGGAGCTGGGCTTTCTTGAAGTTTTCTTTTCCTCTGTCTGTCACCCATCAATGCTGAGCTGGAAGACGGAAAAATATTTTATCTGGATACTGATCTTCTATTGACAGTGTTGTGAAACATGTTCTATGGGTATCCTCCTGACAAACCAGGGTTTTTTTTTGGTTTTTTTTTTAAAACTTAATGAAGATGAAGTAACACAATGACACAAAAAGACTTCTTCTAATTCTTGAGATTAGTACTTACTTTTCTAAACTCTGAAGATGTTCCCTCACCTTCTGCACCTGTCCAGGTTTGGTGTCATTGACAACAAATTCATCACATCTGTAACTATAAAATCCACATTAGACAAGATATATACATACTTAACACGAATATATATACAAATAACACAATAAACCTAAACATAAGATTTTGAAACAATCAAAAGCTTGCATAACAAACACAGTAGTAATAAATATATCTGCGTCGCGCTTCACTCTGTTAGCACCGAACCACAGTGTAGCACTGATACATAGGTGTATATGTGGCATGAGTGATTTTCATTAAATACCTAATATAGTTTATAAAATTTGAATAACTGTTTTGCTTGTGTCATGTAGCCAGAAGAATGTTGGATCACTTGCAAAGTAACTGATCAAGCCTCAATACATTACTGAAGATTGTTTAAAAAAAAAAAAAGAAAAAAAAAAGGCATTTGGTTCCCATTACCATGGAATAACAATCCATTGACTCTTAAACATTTTAATGACTGTACTTTTGCAGGGCCCCATGGTGAGTCACAGATTGTAGACATAGATAGGTTTGTCATGAAGGACACTCACCAAAATACGCTGTAGTTACTGCAGTCCATGCAGACAGAGTGATGGGATTTCTCTTTCTCCTGTTTCTCACCCTTCCTTTGACTAATGCCAAGGACTTGACTGTCTTCAAAGTGCTTCTTTGCATGTCCATTGACATATCTAGATAAAAATAGATTATTTTAGAACACAACTATCAACATGTATTGGCCTGATTTATGCTCAAAATGCTCTCCAGAACAACTATGCTGCCTCTCAACTACCAGACAATAACTGTTAATACCTCTTGTGTATTACCATTACATTCAAGTAACAGAGCTATGCATCTATTTGACTAAAAGAAAAATCCTTTGCAATCTTTGGAAAACCCAGAAAACAACACATCCTGATGTTTTGAGTCCTTCCAGAATCTTCAAAACTCATCTAACCATTTGGATAAAAACATAATCTGTCTGCTGCATAATAAAATAGATATTTCACCTACATTCCAAGTTCAGACACTCAATTCCTTGTCCAAACAAAGTGGAAATAACTGGAACTGGAAATAACTTCTTGCTTGGTTCATGGGACATGTACAAAAATTTAAAACAGCTATCACCTGTTACATTTATAAATGTTTGTTTTACATTATTCAAGATTTATATACACAACGTGTTACAATATTCTTATGATGTACAAAACCAAGCAAGGAAATGTGTCATTTTTGTCTACTGTCTTAGAAAATAAAGTTCCAACTTGGGAAACCTTTATGTATTGTATCTATCTCTACAAACAGTTGTATGTGTTGTAAAAGAACCCTCTAGGTTTGTCAAAGTCCATCAAGGAGAAAAATTAAAACTTAGCTGTGTCTCAAGAATAAAATTATAATTCACCCGAGGCAACAAATGGGGCTAACCAGGCCTATCCTAATACAATTGCAGCTCTGTGAGAATATTTAACACAAATACTAAACATATTTTTTTAACCTCTGGTTTTGAGGGCTGTATTTAAACAGGGCGATCTCAGTGACCACTGTCTGACTTCTGTAAACTACAAACCTTAATTTACATCTTGCAGCGCTTATGTGCATGTATAATTGATTTACTGGTTCAAAATGGTCACCAAAAGCAAAAGGACTATGTTTGCCACTCTTGAATGCAGCTTTAGTTGCCAACAAAACAACAGCAGACACCAACTTACCTTCCACAATGGACCAACTGACAGGTAAGGCAAATCCATGGACTTTTATTGGACCTGCAAACTGGAGATGAAAAAGGAAGCTGTCTTATTTGTGAAATCAACACTTTAATGAGACAATACTACTGTGATTTGTCTTTCAATAGGCCATTCTTTCATGTTTGACAAGGACATACACTATCTTGTGAATTTTAATTTGCCCTTGTGATAGCTGTTGTGCTGACTTGTAGCTACAGTGTCTATTGTAGCTGAAACACATGTGGCAGTGTCAGTACCCTGACCAGAGGCTAGGATCCCAAACAGTATATGAACAGATGTAATTTATTTTAACATTAAAAGGTGACAAACATTTCCCCTACCGTTGCAACACCAGGAGGACGGAGTGCCGTTAGGGAACCTGGATGAATCGACAGCGCAGCACACGTTTGAGTTCAGATGAGGGCACTCCATCAGCTTACAAGTGAATAAGTCAGCTAACGTTATCCAACACTACAACACCAGCGACACCGGGAACAAGGCAGCTAACAATAGGTAGCCAATTAACCTAAACTAGCTAGCTAACGTTAGCTGGCCAACTACTTCTGTTCGCGGACGCACGTTTTCCTGTCTTTGCTAACGCTAATACGTTTGGTAGCCACTAGATTTCCTGCATAATTTCAGAGTACAGCAGTTAACAGAAAAAAATGGTAGTGCTGTTTTCACCCTGACATATTGTAAAATAAAACGGTAACGTTATCTTTGGTGTAAAAAGTACTAGATGACTGCTGGCGTTTGTCACAAACAAATGGAAATAACTTGAGGAAGTGACGTAGCGTCTGCCGGCTCGGCCGTTTGCCAAACAGAAAACAAAGATGAAAAAAAATCTGTGGTAGCCTTGAACTACTTCCTGCTTCGGTTACACCCTCCAGGTCGCTTAGAAATACTGCAGGTGCTTCATATTTGGGTCGCCATTGTTTTCTGTCAAATTTATACCCACTGGCATTTGGAGGCTCTGCTATTTAACCAAATTCAGCCATATTGTGAGGTTTGTTTGTTTGGCAGTCGCACGCATGCGTAGTTTTGTTGATGGCACGTTCAACAAAATGAATAGAGTGAATCATCTGTAACGTGATTTAAAAAATGTTTAAACTTTGAAAGAGTTTTACCATGAATATAAATCGCAATTATATCCGTGTTTTGTGCGTAGGCACGCTTACTTTATATGACATAGCACAACACTTTTCACTGGTGCAAGGTAAGTACATTCACTCATGTTTCAGAAATAAATCTATCAAATAAAGTGACCAAAATTACATTTTCTATTAAAAACTTAACAATGTATCAGCTTTAAAGTGTTTGGAAACTGACAGTTTGCAGTTGACCGAACCACCTAATACTAACAACATTTTTTTTTTTTTATAATGATAAAACTTAATTTTCTTCATATATGATGAATGATAACATTTCTGATCAGAGTTGACAAAATGTCACCCTTATACATTAAAATAATGATTTAATATATTTAATTAATACATAAAATATTACTGTGCTCAACACCATCTTCTTACACATGGCATCTCAACTTAAGGGTAAGAAAGTCAGCTTTTAATTTACTGAAAGGTGAACATGTGGCAGGGCACAAAACCACAGGCATTTTTTAAAATGCAAACACTGTCTGAGACCAAATTTAGCACTAAAACACAAAGATAATCAAAATGTTTAAATTTGCAAATTTCGCCACTGTGAGACTGATAAGAGATTATTTTATCTTATTTTTTAGTGAATATTTACACCACCTATATAAATAATAAAAAAAATTGGAACCCCACAAGCACAACACCCACAAAATGAAGCATTCCAATGATTATTCCAAAATATCATGAATATACCAAATACAAAGCATGCACATTAACTTTTAATGATACTACAGCCATACACCTTGAATGAATGTGAGTAAATGTTAAAGTTAGAGACCTTACAATCTAAAACGTAAGATTCACAAATGCTGAGCAGGAAGTCGTACACTCAAAAAAAAATGCTGTGTTGTTGCAGATTGTTGGGTTAATTATGCTAGTTCATAATTCTGGGTTGTTTGGGGTATTATGAATACACACTGTTAGGTTGCTCATGCTGGGTTAAAGCGGATTTAAGGGATTCTTTCGCAGCTGACCAGCTGGTTGGGTTACTTTGAATGAGCAGCTCTCGTTCATTAATTTTCTCACTTGGCCATCGTCAAACTGTCTAGATCCATCTTGCTTTCAGACATTTGCATGACACATGGTGGGCAGAATATCTGGTACATTAATATTAAAGATCCCATATTGTATAAGATGAGACTTCCATGTCTTTTTTGATTATAAAGCAGGTCTAGGTGATGCTGTATCATTACTGTGAAAGTATCAAAGCGCTCAGTCCACAGAGAAATGCGCACAGCCCGTAAGTTTGGCCTCCAATAATCTAATGTCAAGTGAATATGAAAAAGTGACAGTAGCTTTAGCTGCTAATTCTGGCCATCAAATTCAATATTGATGTGAAATGAAACAGTGACAATTAGTTTACCTGCCAGCATCTAATTAGCACCAGGGATGTTCATCATGTGCTGTGTATTAATGAATAGGAGCTTCCAAACAATGTCATGTATTTACTAAAACACTATGCCTGTAAGATCTGTGTTTTTGATACTTACACTTCATAATTTAAATGTCAGTTATATTGCAACACTGAGTGATGTGTAATTAACAGGTGGACGCCAACATGAAATGAAATGCATCTGTTCCCACACATTTTGTGCCTTGGGGATGAGAGGCCAGGCCTTCACCATTATTTCAGCTCACGTCATCGAAACAGACTCGTTGGTGGAGGCTGTAGATGTTTGTTTCAGGGCTTTCTTCTGGGAGCCTCTCTAGCATGTGGTGTTTTGTATATTATGTACATTTGTATTATATATGCATAATAACACATTTTGGCAGAAAAATTGTAAAATTTCATCAAATGCACATTAACAGTGTATGAATGCTGTTATAATAATAATAATAATTATATGAGTAGTAGTAGTAGTAGAAGTAATAGCAGCAGCAGCCCAGCATCATAGTTAATTTCACTCATAAGGTTGGGTAAAATGAAACACTGAAATTCTTATGAGATCACACAGCTAAAAACACAACAGATAACAGTGCACATGATGAGCATGAGTGTCTGAAGTTGAAACGATGTAGTTCTGCTCCTGAGCTCGAATGTATGTCTTAAACAGAATTAGAATAAGAAATAGAAGTTTTCCAGCATGAATGATGGATGTGTTTGACAGATGTCTCTTTTACAATTAATTTTTATTAATAATTAATATACTGATTATGTTTCAATTAATTGTTTGGTGTATAAAATCAGAAATTCATAAGGATTCACAATTTCCTTAGTCCTAAATTGCTTGTTCTGTCCAACCAACAATGCAAAACTAAATATGTTAACTTTGCTAGCGCATAAGAGAAAGAAAAGCAGGAAATTCTAACAAGCTGAAACAAAGGGAATGGCTGTCATTTTTTCTTGAAAAAATAGTTAGTGATTAATCAGTTCAATCGATGGATAAATTAGCAAATTGTTTAAGTTCTGTTTTCTTTTTGATTACACTTTGACTAAACAGATTTATTTAGGATTACTGAATAAAAGCATAGGATAAAGCCCCCAGCCAAAAATACAACTTAAGAGACATCACTTTGCACATGTCGTTGAGGTGAACCAAAATACAAAATTGAACAAAACTGTTATTGCTATTACATATGTCATTAAAAAAATCTTAATTGGACTTAAATGTTATAATCAGTTGATAGGTTTGGCTTCAAGACTAGTACAGCTATAATGTAAAATCACTCTGGTAAAAACTCCACATGTCGAGGTGACATGATCATCTATGCCATTTCAATTCCGTGCCCCTGAAGAGGTGACTCAGACTTGGGCTCTTTACTTTTTCCTTGTGCCTTCTTTGAGACCTTTTTCCTAAAGAAATACAATAAATGGAAAAGGAGAGTGGTCATTAACTGTAAGTTATGTTATTGCTTTATAGTTGTAGTCATTTTTTATGTAATACTAAAGACAAAGAAAAATTGTCTTACTTTGACTGAACGGTCAAGACGATCACAGTTATTAAGATAGAGCAAACAATGGCAGCAAGCAAAACTCCACAGATGATCGCTGTTGAAGAGGACAACATTGTAATAATGGGGATATCTGTAATTAGATTAGATTCTAAAAATAAACTAACTAGAAAACAATATTTTACAGTTGTAACCAGTAAGTGAGTTTGGACTAAAGCAAACCAAAAAGAAGAAATCATTTATAGTATATTGTAAATGAAGACTGCAGCATGTGAAGGCTTTAAGCAAAATTTACACTGAATTCATTGTGTGTCCACTCACCAATAGGAGTGTCTGGCTCGTCCTCTTCCAGTTCATCACCTTCATCTTCAAGGCAATTAACATGTTAAAAAACATGATAAAATGTGTCACCTTTTTGATAGTATCACTATGATCATTAGTGTTAAACTATGCATTGACATATTGATATATTCACATCGATATTGTATAACATATAACATATAATTATCAGCAACTGTGTACATAAAAGAGAGATTTGCCCTCACCGTGGATGCCAGCACATGTGGCATTGCAGCTGTTATAGTCGAAAAATCTGTTTCCATTTCCGATGCAGCCAGACCAAATGAACCGTTTGCATTTGTTATGAACAGAATCGTAATAATACCTCAAATACTGACCACTACATTCACCTATGGCCTTTTTGAAGTGGCAAGCTTCAGATTCTGTGAAGAGAAAACATTATCCTCATTAGAAGTATAATCGTAGCAGTGGCTGCAGTTTATAATATAATAATAATAATAATAATAATGATAATATAAAAAACACGAATGCGATTGATTGATTTTAGTATTAGATGATTAAACCTTTATTAAGCAGGCTGTAAAAGCCTCGGATGTATTCATTCACACTTGTCTGTCAAAAGTAGTCCTGCTCTCTCACCACTTGGAGGCGTATCGCTTATACTCAATTTGACGAGTCTTTCCTAGAGCCTCTGAAGAAATACAGTAATTCCTTGAGAAAAAATTATGAAACAGTAAAACTCATGCATTACTTGGGTTGATTAAATTGACACACAAAATAGCATTGCCACATATAATATGTAGGCTTTGCAGTAATGATTAACATGCTCTTCAAGCACAGGGATCCCTGCCTAAAATCTGGTTGAGACATGTGACTCAAGAAGGCCTCTCTCCCTCTCTTTCTCTCAGTTCTGATGGAGGGCTTCCTTCCTTTCATGATCCTTTGCGTCATAAACCTCAACCTTATTTGCAAGTTCATGGTCCAAAGTCCTCAAACAGCCAAGAAGGACATGTTCTTTTAGTCTGGGTTCATCTTCTTTTCGGCAGTTTTTGAAGATACATTTTGCACATTTAAAACTGAGGATAAGTAATTAAACAAAATGAATGATTGCATTAGACTTCTGTATATATAAATGCATAAAATCATCTTACCAACCATGGGGTAGATCCTCTCTGCATTGGTGGAACAGTTTCTTATGCACTGTCTTTCATTTACAAAACGGTTGCCATTTCCTCCTTCGCCTTTGTATATGAAAGGATTGCACTGATCTTTGACGGGATCATAATACACAAAAAACAGGAAGGACATGCCTTCACCTTCATTAGGGGGCAACTGACAGAATTCTGTTGGATGAAAAAAAATAAACTGCAAGTTAGAAAAGTTTTATTAGCACAGAGTCTATGGTGATGTTTTGGTTTTCAAGCAATGAATACACAGGATTTAGGTGAGAAGTACTGTTGGCTTGGTGAGGAGTCCATTGCACAGTTACTGTATGATACTGTATATGCTTTAGTAGAAATTATTGAGATACTACTGATCACTAATGTTTAACTAACCTCATCACCAGAGACCCACTCCCTGTTTTTATGACAGCAATAAAAAATGGCATTCTTCCTTCCACCCTTCACACATTTCACTAAAGGGAAGTGGTTTCAAATGGTTCTTTTTACTCCAAATACACTGGATTTTAACTAACTAACTAACTGACAACTCCTGTCTGGATGCTCAAAATTTGGACCTTCCCAATAATTTACACAGCTGTGAGACAAGACGAAGTGCAGGTTGACATAGTCTCATCTCATTATGCTCAGTTGGCTCAGACAGAAATAATCTCTGTGTTTAAAAGTTTGGAATTATAGAGGAAGGAATTGTCCAGTCATCTTAGTGCAATCATTAGAAGTGTGTAAATAACATTTCCAGGAGAGTAAATGGAGCTTTCCTTTTTTTGGTCACAGCTAAAGACAATCATTGTTGGCTTCAGTTGCAAGTTACAACATAAACGTAAAGTCAGTAAAAATTATATCCTGCGGAGAGATGCAATCTAGACTTGTATAATGAACCAAAACAATTTTTTCTATCACGTCTAAATATGCAGGCATCACTGATACTGTGTAAAATTAAGCCTAGTTTATTTAGTCCCTGGTTGGTCCCCACGGTACAGGAAAACTGAAAGATCAACGCGCCAATATAACCGCCATGTTGCTCTGAAAGGGCTGAAGGTGAAGTTTTATCTCCCTGATTCAGTTTCAGTGAAACTAAAACATTACATATAAGTGAAAAACATGAATCAATAATAGACAAAATATGTAAACCACAATTTTTTGCAATTATGTTTTAAATAACGCAATCAGTAAATAAAGCAATTTCAAAAAGGGAGCAATACATGAGGCTAAATATGAGCCTATGTGCTGATAGCCTGGCCAGTTCTGAAAAGTAGCCTAAACCTTTTGGTTATGGTTTTAAAAGAAGAGTATTATAAGAAGAAAGTAGTATGATATACCTGGAACTGCTGAATGGCTGATGTGGATTGCAGCAAAAACCATTCCCCAAAACAACAGGTGCTTCATCTTGCTGCTTGTCGTTGTGCTGTCTTTCCTGGAGTGAGTGAAGGTTGTAAACTACAGCGGGAGTGGGTTGTCATTACTGACCTTTGGACAGTCATTTCCCTAATGGTGTCACCTTCAATCGAAACTAATTGATAGAATAATTGTACATAAGTTATGCCATATTGTCTACCATTATGTATTAACTACTTCATACTAACGGTGTGTGTGTAGTCTGCTTTGTGTTTGAGCTATCTTACAGGAAACCACAGCTGAGTGTCTGCAGGCTGTTAAGTCAGCCAGAGTATGAGCTATTTCGGAGAAAACGGGAAGTGCACCCAAGGTGAACCCAGTCTAGGCTAGTTTCACCTCACACGTTGCAAAGTTGATGCACCGTTATGCTAATGTATTTGAGTGTACATCATGTTGCTGCTGTGTGACCCCTACCCTTTAGAGCAGCAACATTCATGTAACTAGGGAACGCCCAAAGACAATAAAAAGAAAGGGTTCGGCGGAATATGCTTCAGAGCAGGTTGGAGATTGTAACTGAGCATATCTCTGTCCGTTCTCCTCGCGAGTAAGAAATAATGCTCTTGTCTTCCTCTTCTTTGTGTCAGTATTAAATGTCTTAGGTAGTGTAAACCTGACACTAATGTTAACAATAGGGACAGACATCTTCATCCTTTTATACTCTTACTGTAAGTTAAGTTGCAACTTCTTATATTGTGACATAACCAGATATAACAAGCATGTACAGCGCCTAATATGAAATAGTGTATCATAAAATTTCATTTGTTGAGTGTTATATTTGAAACCTCTCCATATTTGTGTAGGTAGACTGAGGGACAGGTCAGTATATAGAAGAACAGTTACACTAGCGTATTTTTGTCATTTTATGGAGCATGTTGAGAGTTTATGCATCAAAACTGAGATAACCATAAGCAAAAATGACTGCAAATGAAACCTAACCTTTTGCAAAGGGCAGGACTATGGAGTACTTTTAGTGAGTTCAAATCCCCTTGTCAAGGAGTTACCTCAGGGAGTTACTCTATCCTCTTATTTTGTCACTTTGGATGAAACACTCATCAGTTTCCAATTGTCATGGTGTAAGACTTTGATCTGTAATGTGTGATCACTGTCATCGTAAGCCAAGGTATAAGAAAAAATGCTTTCATAAAATGTTTTTTTAGTATGGTAGATGATAGGTCACAAAATCTGGAAAAAAATAATTTAGGGTGAGCACAGAACACTTGGCTATTTATGCATGGAGTATACATGTAAGGCATTATTTTTCTATTAATTGTCATTTATTTTCCCCTATATCTATGTAACTTGACCTGTCACCAGTCACCACCCTGTTTGTGATCAAGCCCCCAAAAATAAAAAGCTTACTGTTCATCAACCCTTTTGATTACAGTCATAACCCTGGTCTCTTTTGAAAGACAACTTTCATTTTATAATCAAAAAGTTAGAAGGAGTCACTAAACCAAAGATGCAGAGACACAAACATGGTAGAAATGTAAGTTTTTTGTGTGGGGGTTTTGGGTATAATGAGGCTCCATAAGGCCTGAAGTAGGCTAGTACGGGAAATACTTTGAGGCCATAGCCACAAGTCTGAACCAATTCTGTCGACAGCTGTTGCAGTGATATCCAGATGCTAAAATGCTGTGCACAGTTAGAGTTTTCAAACAACCTATAATTTGTCAAGGTTACATGAAGATTTATTCTGGTGTTGTGTCAAAGTCTATTTCCCGGTCAATATGTGTGATATGTGTTTCCCCTTACCTTAACTCTAACCTAACCCCACCTTATACCTCACCCAACCAGTTGTTTTCAGTGATGCTTAACATGACCCCAACCTTCCCCTTGACCAAAGCAGTTATTATCTCTCCTATGCTTAACCATAATGGGAAACATAATTTGTGGGAGGTAAACCCCATTTAAAGGGGCAGTAGACTTTGACACAAGACCTGTTCAAATCAAAACACATCTGAAGTAGCACTACCAAGGCCAAAATGTCCCATGGGTGGAATGGTGAATTTTAAAATTTTCATGTTCACTGACTTCAGTGCATGGCTGCATAGTGGGCAGAAAACCCCAAACAACTAGAGACAATAGGGGGAAACAACTTTCCACCTTACAGGAAGGTGGGAGAAAGGGAAGGAAAACATTTAATATATAGCTATGTTTTGCAAGGTGCACTGCCTGCAGAGTCACTGGGTGCACAGTGTCATATTGAATTTCGGTCGCTTTTACTAAAAATGGTGACCCCATAGTGTTTCGACAGGATCACACGTTTTGATAGTGACAGCACAAACAGGTAGTAGGTATGGAGCCTTCGCACCTCACCTGCCAGTATCTGGTCAACCCATCAGTCTTTTGACGTCACAGAATTTGAAGGCTCGCACATTTTTGCGTAACACCGGCGCACGTGCATGCCGCTCAGCTGTTCCTTTCATCCGTCGGCAGATTTCGAGCCTGAACCCTAAATGAGTGACTTCGCTTGGATGCGGTCGCCTCTGTTGAGCTGTCACTCTCCGGTGACCAGATGACTCTGGAGGCTGGTTTTGTTGTTGCTCTGACGTCAGTGTGAGCTACAATGAAGCTGACAACATGAGTATAAAAGCTCGTTTGAAGGCTCGCGCTCTGGTGCTCCAAGCTCCTGCTCTGCCACCGGGTTAACGTCAGGCTGCCGCACGAGCGTGGGCTGAGGGGACCAAGATGCACTTTCCGAGCTTCACATCCGCCGTTTTACTACAGCTGGCTTTCTGCGCTGTACTGCATGGTAAGATCGTTCATGAATGCATAAAGTAGCCAGTTAAAAAACTTTTCATGCACTTTTAGATTTGTATTAAGTAGACAGAAGAAGAAGAAAATTGTTTAAAGCAAGCTATTTGGGCCGTTTAGCACTATAGGTCTTGAGCAGAAGGGATGCTTCATGGCAGGTGTCTCCATCCACCTGCACATGCTCTTTCTGAGGCATGAGGGTGACATGAAAAGTGACCATTTTTCTCTGAGACTAAAACTTTGAATGTTTGTTCCAGATATATTGCTTTCAATTAATTTTATTCTATGGAAAATTGTAAAATATTGCATTGCATCCTGTTGCATATGTGCACTTGCATGTCTGATTATTATATTTTTAATATGCAGTGGGACCATTTTTTCCATCTGTTTCAGGTGCCAAATGGACATACAGTGGTAAGTCTGATAATTTTGTCATAAGAGACAAATATGGATAGAAATGTGCACCTTTGGTGCATTTGCAATCCCAGTGCATGTGCACTTGTATGCCTTGGTCACTCACAGTGCTATTCTACCCTTAAACTAGCGTTAACTAATTGAGTGTTAGAATTCAATTGGCTGCAATTCTCTGATAGGCAATAACTGAGTCAGAGAAGATGTTGTTGTTATGCCCCCCACAGCAGTGCTTTGAGCTGGCAATACAAAATAATAAAACAGAAGTGATAACACCGTCAAATGCAGTGCTCTCTGATCAAAAGTAAAAAAACCCTCTGTGGCCTCTCTTTGACCCCCAAACAAAGCTAGTGCTGACCACCCTCCTGTCACCTCATGTAATTGTAGAGTTCATTACAGACTAGTCACAACATTTCGTAAGTGGCTGACTGCCTTTGCCTCATGCCTTAAGCTCTATATGCAGGGTTTTTCTTGAACCATGACTCTCTCTTACATAAACTGCGCTCAGAGCATGACCTCTTGTGATTGTGTCATTGCTACTCAAAAGTCTGTGGCATTCAGGGACTGAATGTTAAAACCAAGACAGGTGCAGCAAATCAACTTAATATCATTATTCTTCCAATTTTTTTTACTAATAATTTTGACTACTACAGTCATTGGGGACAAACTTACTGTCCTCTTTTTAAAATAACTATTGCCTGCAAATTCTCTTACACAGACACATCAGGGATGAATAAAGAAAGAGTTATTTTCTCTGCACAGTAATTTATGGTCAAATGATTATAGTTAGAGGAAACTATACTTGCTTAATTCAGACCTCTGACACAGCCTGATCCACTCTGTTTTTATTATAGCGGTGGCTTGGCATTAATGGGTGCCCTTTGTAGATACACAGTTGTTCATCTCCTACCTGTGCACATTTAGAAAATAGGAACAACACCTTAACAAACAATGGGAAATTGGAAAAATTTCTAATTTATCAGTGACAGTACAGGGAATACCTTAAAAATGTGGCAAAATACCTTGGTGATTCATCCTGTTCTGGTCAAAGCCATGTAAACATAAACACTTGGATCCTTCCAAAAATGCTTAGACTACAAGAATAAATACAACAATCATATCATCACAAACCTTAATGATAACACATTAAATTAATTAGAAATTAAATTGGAAATGTATGTGATGACTACTGAGAAGAAGAATTGATGTAGTAATACATATGTGAGTATACATGTATATACTGTATATATAAAACTTCTGGCCTCCTCCTAAGTGCAGTGTAGTGGATTTCATCCTCACTTACAGTCAAACACTGGAGAGGCCGTGTCATAGTAGTCAGTAGTCTGCAGGGCTGGTAGCACTTTCTGTTGACGGGGGCACAGCTGAGTCATACGATTTATCTCCACCTCAACACTCCACCCTCTGGCAAAGGACAAACAGTGAACCTTAACGTGGAAGTAGAAAAAAGTGATGTTGTTGATGACTGTTGTAGTTTTGTCAACCTGCTCTACCATTGATGTTATCTTCAGTGGTTTACTTTGCAGAAAACCTAGTATAAATCTTCTCATTTAACATTGCCTTTACATAGAAACGGCCCCATATTTAAGAAATTACCCAGTCATGTATGTTCTACCGAGGACTGCCAAGGGGCCACCAAAGGCCACTGAAGGCCATTATTAAAGGGCAGGCTGGGTCTAATTAAAACTTTCTTTCTTATTATAGGGAGTGTTTGCCTCGATTGAACTATGACTTTTGCTTCAAACAAGTATTCAGTGATTTCACAGCTTCACTTGATGCCTTTTGGCATGTCTTGTACAATCAATCCACTGGGAACTGACAATGGGGTTGGGGGCAGGCTTCATGCTGCATCATTCATATTTAACCACGGTCTGCTGGCATATGGTGAATGGTGCGTTTTTAGATTAATTCTGGACAGATAATGAATTAGTTGTAAATGTGCAGTAGGGATGAGAGCACTGGTACACTCAGGGCCTTTCATGCCTTTTTCTACTTCACTACAGTTATGTTATTTCAGATCTGATAGGATCCATTCATTGCAAACTATTATCCTCACTGTATACTAAGCATCATGTTTGAAAAGCTCAGTATGGATGATTGCACTTCAGTCAACACACTGAATGAAAACATCAGAAATGAAGAGCTTCTTGATTTTCTTGTCAATCAATTTAGTATCACCATGTTCTTCTCTACTGAAGTATTTCAAAGCCCTTTTGCCTCATCGCCTTCACACTGAGAGACACCCTCATGCAGCTGAGGTCACTGAGTAAACTGCATGACTTGATTTGCAAATGTGGCCATTTTCACTGTCCTGTGCTTTATAGAAACCTCTCATTTGGAGAGAGACAGTGTTCTCACTGGCTCTCCCCGCAAACAACAGCCTGGTTCTCACTCTCACTGCTTTAGAAAGGGCCAAGAGCAGAGCCATGGGCCTCTCCCATGCCGCCTTGGACATAGATAATAATACTTCACTTTGATTGCAGATAAAATGTTTGGTAAGCCAGGACAAGCCCTGGTCCTCTTTGCAGCCATCCCCTATTCAGTTTCACTCTGGGGCACGTACATTTGCTCATTTGCCCTTTAGAATAGAACAGTTTAACATTTGTTGAGGACATGCAACGTCTCCCAAGAACAGATGAAACGAAACACACTTTTTGGATGACTTAGACTATATGAAATACCACTGTGCAGTATATTAAAATTGTGAAAATTTGGCTATATCATGTTGAAATCAAAGGTGTTTTATGATTATGATTATGATCTACATTGATGTTGTTGCAGGGCCAGAGGGAGAGCACCACTGGTCTAAGAATTATCCATATTGTGGTGGAACTTTCCAGTCTCCAATAGACATCAAGTCAGAGCTGCTGAGGTTCGACCCGACTTTACGTCCGATTGAGGTTCAGAACTACAACCTGTCACCCAATGAGCAGCTCACTCTTGGGAATAATGGACATTCTGGTGAGTGTAAATCATCAGTGTTGTCCACAAAACATGTTATTATGTACAATACTTTAAATATAACTTCAACCGCATTTTATCTCAGGTAACAAAACTGTGTATCAAACGAAGCAAATATTTAACAACGCTATGTTTTGTTTGGCTCGGGATCTACGTTCTTTAAATCAAAGTGATGCACTAGTCAACGTATTCATTAGAGATGGCCCCACATAAACTTGGAGGAGTCTGTTCTTGCCGTAGAGGTCATCCCTAACGAAAATGATAGGAGTATCTTCTTTCTACATCTGCCACAGCAATTTTCCATAATCACTCTCTTATTATCTTAACTGTCCTTTTACCCAAAGAAAGGGCTCCATGTTTAGTCTGGGAAAATATGAGCTGGGATTAGTCATCTGCTCTGCAACTACTGGGTCTGATGCATCTTAACAAAAGAGCCACGCTTCAGTTTAATGTTTGATATCTATTTATAACATGGTCATAAATTTAATCTTTAAATACAGCAATTAGAACATAGATAAGTATGCCACTGTGCCGCAGAAAAAGAAAGAAACTATTTCAGTCAGAGAAAAGTAAACTAAAACGTCTGTTGCACAACTGGTTAGATTACTTACATGTTAATTTAAGTGCAATGTAGAAATTGCTATATATGAGGGATTTCAGTGTCAGCCACTGTATAGCATAACATACATGTAATGTCTGCCCTGTGTTAGTGATTGTTATGATATCTGTTTAAGTAAACTGCTTATGTATGCATACCCGATGGGTCCCAACGCCACATCAGTGGCATCATCAGCGTGACGTGTGTCTGAAATAAGCTGACAAACGTTTTCCACTTGTAAACATTCATCATACACCTACAAAAATGTAGAAAGCGCCCTGCGTCACTCCACCATACAGTGACTTAAACATAGCTGCATCGATTTTGCAAAAGTACTTTGACGGCACAGAGCGCACCACGCTGACTTCATCGGTGTAGATAAAGGTGAAGTTGATGTTTCTCGATACCCTCATGTCAACTCAAGTAACCCCCCCTATCCTGCTCTCTTATGTGTGCTGGGAATCCGCTTCTTTTGACCCACAGTGCAAATCTCCCTGCCCTCTAAGATGCACATCTCCAGCCTGCCTCATCATTACACTGCAGCTCAGCTTCATTTCCACTGGGGCTCCTCCAACAGGGCTGCCGGCTCCGAGCACACGGTGAACAGTAAGCAGTATGCAGCAGAGGTAAACAAAACATACATCACTACCTAATACTTCCCTCTACTGATGTAAAAGACAGAGGTGGAAATTAACTAAATACATTTACTCTAGTGCTGCACCTAAGTACAATTTCAAGGTATTAGTACTTTCTTTAATAATTCCTTTATTTTGCACCTTTATACATTTTGTACCTTTTATTCCACTACATTTATCAGCCACTTGTAGTTAACATAGTTAATACATGTACTTTGCAGATGAAGATTTTACATGTAAAACAGTTTATACATTGTCATGCATTGTTAGTGAATACACTACCCAACAAAGCATAAAGTTGTTGGTTGATGCATAGTATTACTAATCTATAATATATATATATATATATAAAACACTCTGAATGGTGCCATTTTGCGAGAGTACATTGTGTTGATAATAACATAGCTCAGTCCACTCATCCACTCATAGGTCTCTCACTTATTTGCAGCGTCAGACAACAACATCTCCGACCACCAGACAAATGATTTAATACTTCATGACTTAAACGTGTGACACTTGACTGGCGGAGAAATCAGAGCCACTGACGTACTTCAAGACTTGCAGACACTGCTTAAGCTTAAGGAACTCTCCAAAGTTCTGCGTCTGCATATTACTGTTCCAGTTACTCAACACTGTGACAGGCATCCAGTTTTATATCTACCCATTAGACAGTGTCAGAGAATGCTTATAGTGCCTCTTCCATTCCACCGTAACGAACAATTGAATGCTTATGTAAACCTATTCTAATTAAAGACACTTAGAAGTTTTGAACAATAAAAAAGCTGTAGGTCTTTAAAATCTCTACTACTGAGATTATAAAGCGTTAAGCCCAAAATTGTTGTTGTTGTTGTTGTTGTTGTTTTTATAACTCATCCCTTTACCAAGCAAATTAGCATGTTTTGTCACTCAGTTTCTCACATTAAAAGGAAAAGACATCATCTCAGTCAGCCTCAGACAGCGTGCCTTATTTTTGAAGGGTTTAAAGGGATTAGAGTGCCAGACTATTATATGCTTTGGTTTTCAACCACCTCTGGTAAGGAGTGGCTGTCTGTGCTGTTTAATGTGTCAAGCCCTGTAAGCAGTTTTCACACACTAGTTTGCTTTTTTTACATCGGCGCTTTAAGTAAAGCAGAAGATTTGACTGTAACGTCCGAAAGCATCTAAGAGTCTGTTTTATGATATAAACAAAAATAGGAGTCTTTTTTATATAATTTGGTATCGTTTGAATTACAGTGGGTAGAGGCTGTAATGGTTACAACCTGTGTGCTTTTATGTGACCATGTCCCAGCTGCGTCAGAGCCACATATAAGGTGCTGTGGTTTGACCTGAGTTTCTGAGTGGACACATCGGGAGCATGCATCTTTTCAAGTCTCTCCAGACTACAGAACCACAGCTCCTTGATGACATGTTGTTATTGAGGGATGGAATGATGGGAAATTGAACTTTTCCCAAAAATAGTGCAAATGTCTACCTTAATTCCCAAGACAGAACAAAGACTGTAAATACAATTTCGTATTTAATTTCATATTTGACTGGAATGACCTACATGCCTCTGTGTTGCACTGAATAAGCAAAACTGTCACCAAAACAACTGACAGTCTGGTATTTATGTATGTACTGTAATAGGCCACCCAGTGAAATAATAAATATCCAGTGTTTCTCGTTTGCTTTTGTTATAGACTTTTCACTAATATCACATCCCCTGAATACCGCACACTATTTCTAATCCAATGAACACTTATGGCGCGTGGATGCCATGGTATAAATAGTGACAATAGTTAGCGTCAAATTTGTTTTTATAAAAAGATCATTTAAAAGAAATCTAAACAGGCCAGATGGTATAAAGGTGTAATCTTTTATCACTGCTGCATGATCCCTGAGTCTACACTGCGTGGGGTTCAAATGATGAAAACGTATACAGAATTTAAAAAATTTGAAAAATACATTAAAGATGTTTTCCCATTATCCATGCAGTCCTGTTGATAGACTGAAATTTGTAAGCTCTGTCAGATGTCCATTTTACTTCTTCTCCCTTTTTTTTGCTTCACATTATATTTTCTACAGAGAAGTTACAGATATATAGTAACATACAACTCAGACTGAGGGACCTTCTGTAATAACATATTGGACATCTATGTACCGCATACTTTTCACCTTGGGTGTAATAAAAGAACAAATTATATTTTTCAGCTAACTAACTTTTGATTAATTCTACATTGTTTTGTTTGTTCCACTATGTCTTGACTTATTTCTCTTTTTTCTTCACAGATGCATGTGGTACACTTCAATTCAGATAAGTACCCCAATATGTCCATGGCCGTAGACAAATCTGATGGCCTGGCAGTGCTGGGTGTCCTGATTGAGGTGAGATACTGCTGACTCTGTCGCACCGACCTGTGAGTATCTGTGGAGCAGAACCATCTAACTATGTTTCCTGTACAGGTTGGTGAGTTCAGTCCTGCCTTTGAACAGTTTCTAAAGTTCATCAATGGGATCAAATACAGAGGTAAGTCTAAAGTGATGTTTTCCTTTTTGCAGTTTAGACACAATGAATAATAAATATAAGTCATGAGCATGGGTAGTTCACAATATGAAGCGCAGTATTCAGGCTTTGTTTTAGACATCTCATCCACCTAAAAAGATTGAAAACTCACTGGAAGGGCTACTGTCAGCTTTTGACACATGTACAGAGAGCTTTGGTTCCTCTCTTTCTGGGGTGAGAATCTCCATGCTCTTCATCACCTCATTCATGTGGCTATTATTGTATTTTATTCTGACATAAATTGTTGTTAAGTAGTCACAAGATACTTTTGTTATTTATTTAACCCGCAGATCAGAGAGTGCAGGTGCCCGGCTTCAACATCAGAGCGCTGCTGCCTGCACGTTTGGATGAGTACTATCGCTACGACGGGTCCCTGACAACTCCTCCGTGCTATCCAAGTGTACTGTGGACAGTGTTCAGGAATCATGTGACAATATCTCGCAAACAGGTGCTTCATCAGTTAGAATTATTTTTTTAAGCAGATTTGATGTTAGGATAAATAAGCCACTGAAAAATGAATGCCAATTCTTTTTTTCAAACAGCCTAATATGGTAGGTCCCTTAACTGGTGTGGAAAAATCTCTGTGCTTTTGTTTTGTTGTGTCTTCACAGTTTCTTGCCCTGGCAACAGCCCTCTACTCCTCCCATGCCCAGGACTCAGCCCCTGTGCCACTGAATGGCAACTACAGGAAACCACAGCTCGCTGACAGCCGAGTTGTCCTGGTATCATTTAAAGAGGGTAAGTATGGCCTTCAAAATGGGATTGCTTTATTGTTGGAGCATGAGTGCAAAGGTCACATAAACGACATAGCCACTGCACTGCTTGGGGAAACGACGAGGTTTGGATGATGTGTGGGCTTTTTTTTATTCGCAAAGCACAGGGGGCTGTCATGTGGGCTTTGGCTTGTATGGTTTCACCTGCTTGTGGTTGAGCTTGTATTGATATCATTCTCAATCATCTTCAAATTTGATTGACTTTGATGAGCTTGTTAGAAAGTAGGCCATCTTTTAAGGCGCAACAAATTAACTTTCTCTCTCTCTGACATACTGAGAATGTCTGCAGCCTTTAAATTTGTATTTAAAGGCTTACTTTTATGTGGCTGACTGGCTTACCACACTGTATGGTATTTAGATCCATATAGTGCTGTGTTAATGTGCATGCTTTCTTCATTCCAAAGCTTCCCACTCAGAGCTATGCTTTTCTAATGGCACATTTGTTTGGACATGGCAGTGTGGAATCTTCTGCTGTTAGCTTTCATGAGCGGCATTTAGCAGGTGATGGCTTGTGCTTTTAGTTTATCGCTACAGGCAGTGCTTTTGCATGCTGGGTGTGAAGGCCCAACGTCGTTCCAAGGAGTGTTCCACGAGCTGGGATGTTTAACAAGTTGTGATTGGCTCTGTGTCTGGTGTAGGCAGAGGACTGCATGGTACTCTTTCACTCACATCTCCGCTCACGAGGAAGCGAATCGTTCAGCAGCTGCTGGTTGGCGACCTAGCAGACCTGGCTGATGAAGGGCTCTATCAGCTCCTTCCAAGTGGCTCAGAGAAGCTCCATGCTGGCAAGAAGAAAGACCTCAAGAACCACCAGAGTGAGACTCTGTCCAAGTCCAAACAACAGACGCTGAATCCATCCCTGCGGAAGAAGAGCCAGACCAACTGGTCTGTGGGAAAGTTAGGACTGGCTGAAGACGCACTCTGCTACGTCTCGCTGGAGCAGAGAGTTTTCCATCAGCTCAAACAGTCTCACACTGAGAACCAGCTGGTTCACGCTCTCAGAGATGTAGTTTTCCCTGAGCTCAACCTCAAAAGCTACCTGGACTGTAAATCTGATTTAGCCCTCCCCACTATCAGACATATTCTTCGTGGACGGCCAACAGATGAGGTGCTTGAGTTGGATCGCTCTCTGACAAAAGCCTTGATGAATCAGAAGAAGACTTCCACAGTAATCAAGCAAAGTGTGCCAATGACAAACTCTGGTAGCCTCTCCCCTGCTACTGTTCCCAGGAAGCCACACAGCCAGGGTTATCCACATCCTTGGCTTCTGCCAATGGAGTGGGAAGACTAGATTCCTGACATAGTTGAGACTCACATTATGTCACTTTCTGTAGCAGACATCATTCGTGTGTCCTATAATGAAAGACTAATTTTCAAGCCACGCCCTGCATTTCTTTGACTTATGTTTCTCACAAACCTATTTAATATTTAAATTATTCTTTCCAGTATGTGCACATAATTATGAGTTCTATCAGAAAACTACTTTAGTATGAGTTCATTTACTGTAGTTATTGTTTTTGCACACTTAACTCATACGCATAACCACTTATCACCAGTGACTGTGCTCAGTACTGTAAGCCAATCTGAATATGTTGTCTGATTTTTGTCATGGAAATTTGCAAAAATAAGAAATGGCTTCTTTTTCACAATGGCCTATAGGTGTGTTTGCAAAACGTTGCCTTGCCATACAATGCTTTATAATAAACTTCTTCGAAGCACATATTTTGTGCTTGGAAAACTGTACGCATCAAGCTACATGTAGTACACAAAATATCTGGCAAGGAACATTTATAATGTTATACTGTATGCCAAGTTCATTTCTATAGTATGGTAATTGTGAAAGCTAACTAGTAATTTTTGTCTTGCACAAAATAGAGATGCAGCTAAACCAAAAGAATTTGCAAGAGCTTAAGCGCTTTACACAACATCCCTGTCTTTGACAATTTGTACATCTGTTCAAATTGCCATTTCCAATACGTAAGGAAACAGCTACTGTACAATAGATAGGGAACTTTTCAATAAAAGCATTATACCTAAATCACACATGGTAGATTTCTTCTCGACTGCATTTGCACCTTTCACTCTGAACTTATAGAAATGGTATTATTAGAATGTATTTTCTCTGCCATCTTAGTCTTCTTCAGGGTCACAGAAAGATGCAGAGCAAAACACAGGGATAGAAACACACTGTGATATTTAAATTCTATACATTTATCTTCTATATCTATACAGTAGAGTATGTAAAACATGTAAGGTTCTGAGCTGCACATTTTTGAACATAAGCATAGACCAGAATAGAAGAAACTGCCTGTGCCTGTCTGAGCCAGGTTTTAATCTACTGGTGTACATCCATGTCATGGAAGCGAGCTGTGTTGTGTCTTACATTGAAACTGTCCAGGTCCAGGTCGAGACCTTTGGAAACAATGACACACACACCTGCCTTGCCTAGTGATTGGGTCTTATCAGTCATGACTACCAGTGGTGAATGCAACATGGATAACAAATAACAAGCGTTGCTGACCTTGTTGTCTTTGCTACCAGCTGTTGTGCAGTTAAAATCTGCATTATAACACTACAACTGCCTTTGCTGTTCCTCATTCTTAGTATTTTCTGTAACTAACCAACTGCAGAGTAAACAATCTGCTTCCTGTTTACAACAACACGCACATGTACATTAATGATCCTTCGATATGTGTTTTCATGTGTGTTCATATGGATGGAGATTATTGATGATATTCAGCTAAAACAGTCGTGTGTTTTTAAAACACTGTTTTAAAATGAAAGCATATTAGTGTGGACATAGCCTGAGCAGTGCCACTTCTTCAGGGCAGACTGGACACTACAATGATTCGCTATCAGAAAGTGATGTGACGATCCAGTTGGACAGGCGCTAACTGGTTAGCTTGCTAACTTTAGTAGAAGAAAAGAAGTGATAGAAATATTGGTTTCCACTGCTAGAGACAGCTCTTGGAATGAAGTTTAAGGCTGGCTATGTTGCGAAACTCACATGCTGCACCTTTAAATCAACTATCTACGTATATTATATTACTAGTTAAGACACAGACATTTACACTAGCTGTGTGTGTGTGTGTGTGTGTGTGTGTGTGTGTGTGTGTGTGTGTGTGTGTGTGTGTGTGTGTGTGTGTGTGTGTGTGCTACGCAAATGCTATAAAAAAATATGATTGGATCCAGGAACAAGATTTTTACTGTTAAATGATGCTAAGAGCTGATTGCCAAACAGCAGGACATCGAGATCAAATGACCTTAAAACTTTTCTGCAACAGTTCATTGTGTCTGAATTTGAGTGAGTCTAAACTGTGAGCTTGTGTCATGAAAAGGCTTGTTTCTCATATAAAAGACTTTGAAGATGATTTAATTGATTTACTTTATTTTTTTATGTGATTTGTTTTCTTTATCTGTCATGAAAACCCCTTTAAATTTTAACTCTTCTTGTCCTTGAATGGTACCATATCTAGGGTGTCTTTCATTTTCACCTTCTTCTCTCTGTTTTTCTTCACTACTTAGCTGATCCATCTTGGATGAACACTGGTATGTTGCTTTTCTGTGCATTTTCTACATTTACACTTTCCTTTTTGCCATATGTTGTCTTCATCTTCATCTTACACTTGGGCAGCATTGAGGGATCCTCCCTTTGTGAGCCACAAACATCTTGTTTTCTCTTGTGGAATTTTAATAAATAAGCAATTCAGTAGTTAAAATGACCTTTTCTCTGTCTGAATTTAATTCAGTGAACTAGTTAATAAGGGAAAAGAATAATTGCTCCAACATCAAAATCATGGCTTTAAATTTATAGGTAATCATTTACCAAACTAAATCATTACTAGAATAAATGTAGAGTATGTTGCATAGACTAGCCTATATGATACACCACTGGTAATTACTATAGAACGTTACAACATAACAAATATTTATTTTACCATTTAAACTACACCTTAACAAGTAATTGTTTTAATTATAATAAAACACTGTATACAGATATAGAAGCCCACGCACCAAATGAACACATGGAGGAAAACAGTCCAGGCATCACATAATCCTTTCTGCTTCTGTTGCCCCCATACTCTGCAGGTCTACTGGTTACCATTGTGGTGGGCTCTGCACTGGGACTTGTTCTCATTGTCTCTTTAATTTGCTGTCTATTAAGGCAAAAAAGGTAAGTAAAGGGCAAAAACAACAAAACAAGACCACAGTTATGCTAATTGAAATCATGTTGTGTACATAATACATATAAAAGGTGCTATTCGTTAAGCTTGACCAATCATAGCTGGTCAACTTGATGATTTTCATCATTAACACTTGAGATGAGAGCTTTTGAATTTGATGTTTGATAGATGGCTCACACATTTTTTGAAGATGTCTGTATGTCTGAATCTCCCAAAACTGAAGTTGAAAGAGCTGAACTATTTTAGTGGGCAAATTTGGTGTTTTCCATGACTGATTTTAGAGGGTGAGATATAAATATATATAAAGTTGACAATTGCAGAGGATATTTCAAGAGAATGGCAAACTTAATTGAGCCATACATCTAGGGTTTAAAAAAGGAGAGATGGAGTTTACAGGGGTTGTGTCCTCATTAGTTGAGATTTTTGGGAATGTAGACTCACTTGTGCCGCTCTTAGTCATCCATGACAGTGTGACATTTAAATTTTGAGCCCATTTTGTATAATTGTGGTTTTCTATAAAAGATAAGTGGTACCCTGGAGAATATTTTCTTTGGGTTGCGTTGCTGTGTAATTAGAGATTTTTTATGGTACATAGTTAAGAATACATTTGAGAATTAACTTGAGAAATTAATTTGAGAAAAAAGCTTTTGAAGAAAGTGTAACAGTTACACTGAATCATATATTAACACTCATATACTGCGTATTTGTGCACAGTTTTTTTAAGAAGGTGATTTTTATTAAAAAGCCTAGCGGTAAACAGATTATTGAAAATGTTTGGTTCTCTCAGAACTGTTTAACAACTGAGGAAACAAGATGAGACATGCGCTAATTTTTTCAGGTTTTAGTATGGGAGGAACTGAATCTATACAGGAACATTTGATGATAGTGCTGTGTTGTAACCCTAAATAACTTCTGCTGTCAGGAGGAAACACATGCAAAGAGAATTTAAAAATTGTATAATGTCCATAATATGTAAAACTTCAGTTCGTTGAGAAAATAAGTTGGTTCTGAAACTAAAACTGAAGGAAATGAAAACATTCAAAAACCTTAGTGACTAATAGAAAAAACTGAAAGTATTATGAATATTTTATAAACATTTAAAATATTGTTTCCTACCAGCATTAAAGCCTGACAAGCAGATCAGTCAATAAAGGTTTCCAAAGATGAAATGGCCGTTCATAAAGTTAAGAAAGAATAAGAGAGGAGAAGACGTACTGTAGCGGATATCACTTCCCCTCTTTTATATCTTTATGTTAATGATGCACAATCTGCTTTTGGAGGTGACAGACTGGGTGACAGTCTCATCATAGATGGGTTTTCTCCATTGAACAGTGTCAAATGTTTCTTGTTTCTTCAAATTTTCCACCTGTACTCTCTTCTTCACAACCTCCGAAGTAATTATGTTTCCCTACAGCAAATTATCAGCAACAGCAGTTTTCTATTTATACATGGCTAATGTCTCTGTAAAAATGAACAAGCTGGTTCAATTTAAAATAATTTGTAACCTGGCTGTCTTTAAATGTTGAGTTAGGCAGATTAAGAAACTTAAGTTAGAGCTGACCAACTTTAAACTTTAAGTTTAATCAGGAAGTTTTTTTTTTTTGTGATACCAACACAGTCATACAAACCTAAATCTTTATTGATAGAACATAGAAAGTTCCATGAAACCAACAAATACAGTATGTATTGATTTATTGAGTTGTACAAACATGAAAATAAAGCATCTTGTTGAACTAACTGATCTTTTTAAGGTAGCAGTTTGCTTATTCAGTATAGTATAGTTCAGGTGCAATGTTAAGTTCACTCAAAAAATGTAACTGTGTAATTTGCCCACAGAGCTTAAGTTTCTATTTTCTAACAGTACTAGCCTACATAAAATGAATTCATCAAAAAACATTCAGAATTTTATTTGATCTCATTTCAAAACTGACAGTGGCCTTTTTGGTATGAATCTACTTAGTATTAACACTTCCATGAGGCATAGCTGCATATTATGGAAAATGCCACATATTTGACATGTTTCAATAGCCATTAACATTTATCTAATAAAACTGTGTGTGAAATAGCCTTAGCCTACTGTGCTTTTACTATACAAGAACAACTATCAATGTACAAAAGTAGAAATTATGAAATATAAAAGCTTACTGCTTAACTTGTGCTGCTAAATTGCACAAACGTTTAAGTAGTACATCATCTCTTTACTGAACAAATAACGTACTACAATATTCTATATTTAACATATAGTCTATAATATAACAGTTTTAGAACATCTGCATGAAGCATTTTTTCTGTGACTCACAGGCCTTTTTCTTGTTATCACAGGCCTTGTGTTGAGTGTTGTGACCATGTGATGTGTATGTGGGCATGGTGGTGTGTTTGGTATGCAAAACTGAGTGTGATGTAGTTTTAGGGTAGAATCATTTGTAAAATTCGAGCAGACCAACTGAAACAGTGATACTGTAGCTGCCGTTAACTTAGTCAGCTTGCCACTACGCTTTGCACTTTACTATATTTGAGTCCCTGAACTCTGCCTGAACAATTGCCACTACTGATGCCCATGAAAATTTTTTTATTAGCTCGAATGTATATTTCAGTCCTTTGGGATAGTCTTTGATAAGGCAGTAAAGAAGACCCATTAGTGTTGCAAAGGCATTAGGAACATCTGCAGAGTGATGTGCTCCTCCAGTACAACAGCAGCATCGACAGTCTCTTTTGTCAGCAAATCTTTGACTCTTTCTTCCACCCTCCTCTGTAACAATGGCAAGGCCAATGTCTACTCCTCTGCCCAACTGGAAGTTTAAAGAACACAATGAAGTATTCAGTGATTGAGCATGTACCATCACTATACCAACCTTCATTTACTACCCTATGTTGGGAAAGACACAATCACAACAAAGGCAGCATTATGATACATTATGCATTACACCAAATGACATGGTGCCTGTTTAAATGGAAAAATCTTACTTTGAGACTCCTTCATATTAATTATTAGACAATAGATATTTAAGTGTAATTTATTGTAAGTCTAATAGTAGACTGTATCCCTCATCACAAAACCAGACCAATGGAAATATAGGATGCTCTGTCTGCTCAGCCACAGCTGGACTGGACATATGATGTAGGAGCAATGAAAGGCCTAACCTGCTTTATATAATAATACTCCTGTTGAAATAGGTTATCATTTTTTTTTTTATTAGGTTAACACAATATAATAAAAATCTTAACTGCAGAACAATATTAACAGCATTACTTAAGGAGAGAAGAGCTGTTTGATTTGATAGGTGGGGCAAAAGTGCGGCAATACTTTGTGATAGTTTTATTGATTAGATTTTTATGTTCCCACTCACTGGGGCAGGATGAGTCATTGTTAAGGATCTGTGCTGTGTCAACAATCACTCATTATACTATATAGTGTGGCGAGCATTTAGTAGTGTTGTCCAGATGTCTAGTGAGAGTTGTTACACCATAAATAACAGACTCAAAATATCCCATGATTAACTGTAAAATACCAAGCACAAGTACAAGTGTGCAATCAAGGGCTGCTAACTGAATGCTAACTACTATCATGCATGTCACAGAGGAATGGTTTTTGATTTTGGCAGGTAACACAATATACACCTCTGTATAGACCTCCATGTATAGTAAAGCCAAGTAGTGGATTATTCCATACACATTATTACAGTTGTCTAGTTCTCCAGGAAATTAAGTGTCCATTTAATGACCCAGTAAACCCTAAGTACAGTTAAGCTAATGACCGTAACAGCTTTTCATCACATTAGATTTGACAATGACTGACACTATTTCTACAAATGACACAAGGTTATTTTTGATTGATGGTCGAGGGATTGTGATCAAAGAATAGAATAAAATCAGACTATGATGACTTGTACATCATGGGGCTGACTGTGCATGCCAGAGCTGCTACTACATCACGCTCTGAGCACTTGTCAAGTCCATCAAAGCAAGATCAGTAGAAACTAGGTGGCTAAACTGTGCACTAGTCTGTAAGGAAAAAAACAAAGGACTTGTCAGTGGTTTCCTTATAACATAAAACACATTTATAAAATACAAATACACAAGTACAGCCTTGTGTTACATCAATAGAGTCTTCATACATATTACAACATGAAAAAAACATGATAGAGTCCTTTAGGACCATGGAAAGCAAGGTTAGTGATTGGGTCGTGTAATAAAAGTTAAGTAAAGCATTAGGATTTTCTTTGATTCTTCTGTAGGTCAGTATGACAGTAAGTATAAAGGAAGTTGGTTGATCCAGGGAAAAGGTAAGTGCAGAGGGTCAGTAGATAAGTATATTAGGTTGAGCAAACAGGTCAGCATTGGGTTGGTTTTGGCTCTTACAGGCCATTAAAATGTAAAATTCTGCAGTTGGGAAAATTGACTAAAAGAAAAAACGAAAAGTAAAACAAATTCCTGAATCAATAAACACACAAAATTCTGATATTGAAACAGAAAAACTATATTCAAATGTAAGTTTTAGATGCCTCAAAGTTTGATATTTGTAAATCTGAATTTAAAATATATATATTAAGAATTTTTACAAAACAATTCCCTGTCTTCCTGAGAATAATGCTGGCAGTCTGTCTTCAGTGTCAGACACAGGAGACTCACCATCAACAATCCCCTTCGTTGTTTCCTGTCATTCATATACCAAAACTATGAAGAGTCACTGTAATAAATGTACCTTTTAAAGGTGTGTTTTGATTGATATACGCACCAACTATATGAAAACAGTAATAATAAGTAAAAACAAAAAAAACATTAAGCATTGCAGTATTTATCTATAGTTTACCTGTTCAACATTAATTTGAGCTAGCATTTTGGTAAGTACAAACAGGGTTAAAGTCTGTCTTTAACTTGGGAACTCCTGATCCAAAAAGGAAGTTTCTTACGGCACATGGTGCTGTAGAAGGTGGACCAGTGGTTGCCTATGTATTTTTGCAGAGGCCAAGCATATTGGTCAACTAAGAAACCTGTTGCTGAAACTTCTGTGTTTGAACTGATTAGTTGAGCACAATTAAACTTGATATTTCAAGTACACCCAACATTTTAGTAGATTATGACATGAGGTAGATAAAACCTCAAATCCTTTCATGAACAGGCAGTTTTAGTGGAAAATATGGACAAATTAAGAGTTGTGGGGGAAAAAAAATGGTCCTAGCTTTTAATCACTTCAACATCTTGCTCATATTTTATGGAACTAAATAACAAACATTATCTTGAAAGAAAACCTCACCAACATGATGGCCATTAAATAAACCGACAGCTGACATTCATTTGAGACTGCAAGTTGCACGTATTTAAAGATTCAGTTAAACTCTGAATATCCTGTGGTTCTTTTATTTCTTAGATCCGCTGCTGAACAGGACAAAGCCAAAGGTGTTGGATACAACATTGGCGAGAGAGATGAGTACAGCTCAAGAGTATAGCTCCCAGGACCTCGATTCAAATGAACTCAATAACCATTTGTCCTTTCGCACCACTCGTACTGTTACTGTTTGTGAAATTGTCCCATGGGTCAGTTTGGACATGTGGTGGAAGCACGCAAGGTTTGAGTAGATCACTTGATGAATGTTGCAAGCAGCTCTGGGGTTTTGGGAAGTACTGTTTTTTTTTCTCAAGCCACAGTCTGGACTTCCTCTACTGTGTTGTGGCCGGCAGAACATGATAGGTCTCCATGCTGGACGTTTAAAAGGTTGTTTTATGTTGTATGACTACTTCCTTAGAGCAAGAGGAACATCTGTCCTCTCAAATCCCCTTTTATTTATCTGACATGATGTGGTCAGTTCCTGGAGAAGAGCTCCAGGACACTTCCAGGCAAACACAGTCAGGCCAGAGCTGAACTGGTGAGAATCTCAGGTCAAGTTAGAGCATGGCACCCGTTCCCTTGGGCTGTCTTGGCATGGTGGAAAGCCCAACCACAGTCCAAACAATAGGGGGATAGGAGTCGACAGACATCCCTGATGGTAGGGTGGCCTGAGAGGGATGGGCTATACCACATTTCCACCAACCCTCTACTTAGAGCTGCTCTATGGATTTTATAATAAAAGGCCACTCAGCTCCGTACAAATACAGAAACACACAGCTCTTTCCCTGTGAATAATGCTGAGAGAAAAAAAAGGCTTTTGTATATTCAGACTGCATGTGGGCTGACCCCTAACCCCTGTCCCCCGTCTGATCACGAGATTAACTCCCAGCACTCCTCAGTTTGACTGTAGCCTGTGAAGTTAACCACAGGATCCCTGGAGAGTTATTACATCATCATGTCATCCTCACAGGGTTTCTCTTGGGAATTTTATCATTTATTCTGTTTTTATCATATCCATACATTTCTCTTGGATCATTCTTGATGTTCCTGGATGTATGTTCAATATATTTGCATGCTTATTGCACTTTTACTGTAAGCCCAAACATTAGATACTTCTCAGCAGGCTACCTGATAAAATGAGGAAATGATTGAATTGTAAAAAAAAAAAAGCACAGGGGGAAGGTTTCTCTACAATAAAATCTTATGGTGTTGCATTGATCTTCCGCAACAAAGTGTTATTTACTAGTCCTGCAATACAAGGCTTTCTTGCCTGCTTGTTGCTGCTTGTGGTGTCATTTCACTGTTGACATCCCGTGTCACTCCGTATGTTAAACTGTTTTGTAAATTTTAGTTGTGCCATAGTGTTTTTCAGCTGTTACTTTGTGTATGATAAAATATAGTAAATAACTGAATAAATGTCATTCCAGTAATACATAATAAATAAATAAATAAATACTTATGTGTTTTTAAATAAAATTTCATTTTCATTGCATTTTTTTCCCTTGTATTTTGTAACTCTGAATGACTTAAAAGTGTAGTGTGTTTACTTTTATCAGTGAATCATGCTATTAGTGACTTATTTTGATCTTAAATGTGTATTCTCAACCCCCAACCCCCCCAAATAAATTAAATAAGGTCTCTTGGATTCCATGATTTCATCAATCCACTCTGTTAAAGACACCGACATATCCACTGGTAGCACTGGCACGTTTCACCTGCCCCTTCTGATCTTTTCATGAATGAAGTACTGTATTGCATTGTTGCCAGTCGTCGAACGGTGCTGCCATCTAGCGACCTGTTATTTTAAGTGCAATAACAAAAGGTTTCACTTCCGGGTCTTGTCAGCAGATTTGAGTTACAGTCATTGGTATGAGTGCTCGCTGTTTTGCAGATCTGCAGGTGTTTGCGTGTTAGTTTTGTGATGTATCACCAGCCTGTGCTGAAGAACAGGCGCACTCTTCTCGAGAGGGCAGAGAAATTTGTCTCTGATATTTACTTCACAGACTGTAATCTGAGAGGACGGTAAGGCTTCTTCCACACAGCTGCGCTGACTTGTACTACATTGAATTGAACGATCATGTGCGACAGACCAAACATATTTGTGTTACTTCTTGTGCTGGTTTCTGCAGAGGATTGTTTAATATCAAATCCATCCAGATCATGTAAATCACGGCCGCACATCATGCTGCTCACAGTGCTTCTCATCAGCTGGACACTGGTCTGCAAGATAGTGTGGAAGAAAAAAAACTAAATAAATCTAAAGGGAGTCATTTCTAATATTAAAAAGTAAATTACTAATGCCTTTGTCATACTTAATGCTAATTTTCCTTTGATTTTTTAGGCTCTAAAATAAATGATCATATACAGCTATAAAAAAAAATGTCCACATGATGTCCACATTTGCTCATCTGCTCACATGCTCTGTAGTTGATGTGTATGTTATTGCAAACTGCACATTGATCAGATCTGGTCAGAACATCATGTGCAGTGTGAAAGGATTTCTTTGGTTTGACTTGTTGCTCATCTTAATTTAGGGTGTAACATTAGAGGGATAGTGAAGGCCCTTGAGTGAAATTTAAAGTGTTATTCATGATTTTGAGAAATAAGTTTGCCTCTGCTTTATGAATGATTATTGTCTGCAGGCTCTATGGAGACTCTCACCCACTGGAATCCCTCACCTCCCTCTTGTCCCCTAAACGGATCACATTCACAGAAGCTTCCAAGCAGAACTTTTCCCCTTATAAAGTTGGCGATACCTTTGGACCGACGTAAGAGATATTGTCTGATTTTATCAATGTTGTATCTTTTATTTTTATTTATAATCTTGGCACTAAACCAAGCTCGATGATGCTTTTTCAAGGTGGTGGACTTGCTGGTTTAAGGTGACCCTGAAAATCCCTGAATCCTGGAGAGGGAAAGAGGTTCATCTTCTGTGGGAATGTGATGGGGAAGCAATGGTATGGAGAGATGGACAGCCAGTACAGGTAACCTAGCAGCAGTGGAATTCACATCAGATGAGCTGAAAGTGGTAAAATTGCTATGCTTAGATGAACGTGTAGATTTTATTGCCATGTGTAACATACTGTATGGATTTGCAGGGGCTGACTAAAGAGGGTGAAAAGACGAGTTACATCCTATCTACCTGTCTGAATGATGAGGAGCCACACAGGTCAGTTACGCAAAACATGAGCTCAGTGCTGTTTCTGTAACAAACGTGGCTTACTGAAGGTTTGGGCACCTCTCACCTAAAGCTTGTCTCATTCTTTAGTGTCACCCTTTATGTAGAGATGGCCTGTAATGGGCTTTTTGGAGCTGGTCAAGGGTCCATGATTGCAGGTCCAGATCCGAACAGGAAGTTCTCTGTGCAGAGAGCTGAGTTGGTGGTATTTAACCGCGCTGTAAGGGAGCTGCTGACAGATTTTGAGTTGCTTATTGACATTGTGAAGGTATTTTCACACAGAACAATGCATGACGAAGCATTACTTAAATTAAATGGAATTTCAAATATACACTTCTTTCCATTCTTTGCCCTTCCGCCACAGGAACTAGGAGAGGAAGAGCAGCGAGGCTACCAGGCACTCTTCACTGTGAATGAGATGGTCAACCTATGTGACCCCTCTGATCACGGCTCTTTCTCGAAAACACGCAGTTTGGCTCATAACTTCCTCAGCCAACGAAACGGGGAAAGCCAGCACATTGTCCATGCAATGGGTCACTGCCACATAGACTCAGGTCCCTTTTTTTTTTTTTTTCAAATCACAATACTGTTTTGGTACTGACTGAATTGTATCTGTACTTGGCAGCAACAGTGCAGTCAGATTGTAATCTTGTTACTTATTTCTGAATTAGGTATTTCATGATTTAAATCATAATTTTGCCAATTTTAGACTATTTTATTTAGGTACATTTCTCATAAGACTCCTTGTGTTTATGCGGCATCAAGCATTTTAGAACTGGGCTCTGTTGTTAAATGAAAAGAAAGAAAAACATGTTTCAAAAAAGTATTGTTTTAGTATTTTTTACCAAAACTCAGCTATAGAACATTCTCACATGACACCCACCCGTATTACTTTAGTGAATAACAAATAGAAAATGTACATAAAATCATGCAATATTTGAAAAATGTTTCAAATTAGTTCATTTTTGTGACTCTCTTATTTGTAGCCTGGCTGTGGCCTTATGAAGAGACCATTCGCAAATGTGGCCGAAGTTGGGTGACGGTGATCCGTTTAATGGAGAAGAACCCAGAGTTTGTGTTTACTTGCTCTCAGGTAATTCCACACTGGTATAGTTTTCTATGAGCCATAAAGGTTCTCCAAACAAGAGCAGTCCTCTTCAGTTTAGACCTTTTTGCTTTTTGTCCAGGCCCAACAGTTCCAATGGGTGAAGAGCTGGTACCCAGGACTCTTCTCCCAGATCCAGCATTACGTGAAGAAAGGCCAGTTCATTCCAGTGGGAGGAACGTGGGTGGAAATGGTAAACCTGATTTCAGGAATAAGTAAATCACATATCACATATTATGAATTTAGCTGTATTATTTGGCCTGCTGTCATTCAGCCCTTTTTATGACATGTTTGCCTGTCAGGACGGCAATCTGCCCTCAGGTGAGTCCATGGTCAGGCAGTTCCTGGAGGGCCAGCGCTTCTTTAACCAAGAGTTTGGGATGCATTGCAAAGAGGTGGGGATTCATAAAACATGTCTACATAACCTGAGCTAACCTCTGTATAAAATCTGTGCTATACTTGTGGCTTTTTCGTATGTAATTGAGCACATAATATAAGGATCTTTTCTCTTTACTCTTTAGTTCTGGCTTCCAGATACATTTGGCTATTCCGCTCAACTTCCTCAGATAATGCAGGGTTGTGACATTTCCAACTTTTTGACACAGAAGCTGAGCTGGAATCTGGTCAACACCTTTCCTGTAAGTAGATAGTAAACACTGTCTTAAAAAAAGAATGTGACAGGTTTTGATTTTAAAGTTTTGATTTCTCTTTAAGCACAACACATTTTTCTGGGAAGGTCTGGATGGATCCAAGGTTTTAACACATTTCCCTCCCGGAAATTCCTACGAAATGAAAGGAAAGATTGAAGACGTGAGTTTGGTTCCTTGTAAACATAATGTGATAAATTAAGTCTGTGCAGAGAATTTTTACAATTCTTACAAAAGCTTCCATTCATCTGGGTTTTTCTCTGCCCACAGCTTGTGAAAACAATAAAAAGTAACAAAGACAAAGGCAGAGCCAACCACAGTGCGTTGTTGTTTGGATTTGGTGATGGCGGAGGCGGACCCACACAGCTGATGCTAGACAGACTGCACCGGCTTCAGGACACAGATGGGCTTCCCAAGTAGGTTCCGGTCACTCGTGAGCCAGAGTGACCAAGCCCAAACTTTGCAGGAATCAAAATGAATGAGTCAGTAGATTTATATTTTCTTTTTCTGTACCGTGGGATTTCTATGAATCAAAAGGGTGTGTCAGGACGTAAGCAAGAGACCACGCCATAATTTATGAATACTAAAGGATATGAGTGATGTCTACTGATGTCTTTATGGTGCTGTTTCAGAATAATACTTCATACAGTCATGTTTTGGTTAGAATGAATGACGAATGTCTAACCAGAGAGGTCATTGCTCACTTCCATCACTTCCTTGTGTGTTTCTCAGAGTCCAGATATCCAGTCCTGATGAGCTTTTCTCACAGCTTCGGGCTGACTCAGCTCTGCTGTGCACGTGGACCGGAGAACTTTTTCTGGAGCTGCACAATGGCACCTACACCACACAGGCACAGGTAGAATAGAAATCTGTTCACAGTCCTCATTGTAAAATGAAATTATTCTTTCTGAAACAAAACTAATAGGATTCCTCTGAGAAAAAAACAAAAATAGGATAGAACAATCAGAATAACTAGAATTGTGCATTATAAAATTATAAAATGCATATTTTTGAATAGTATAGATTATTTACATGATGGATTTACTCGGATTGTTACCTTTTACCATTTACCAATCTTAGTATATATATATATATTTACTAAGATCCACTAGTATCTTACAAAATAAGACAGTCCCTCACAACACCACAAAATAGGAAAAAAAGGGTCATACTTTATGCAGGGTCATGCAGGGAGTAGATAAGGAGATCTCAATGAAAAGATAAAAACACTGCCAACTAATTATGCGTTAAAACAATTAAAAATGTTTGTGCTGTATAAAATGCAGTTATCTTTATGCTTGCTTTGTTGTTTCCAGATTAAACGAGGGAACCGCCAGTGTGAGAGCCTCCTTCATGATGTGGAGGTAGCCAGCAGCTTGGCCCTGTGTCGGGAGAGGACATTTAAGTATCCTGTGGAAAAACTGCAGGAGCTCTGGAGGTCCAGACACACCCATTAAAGCTTGATGATGCTGATAGATAAATAACTGGTCTCTGTTGTTACTGTTTCATTGATGTTTTTGATTTTTTTCATTGTCGTCCAGGCTGCTGCTTCTAAACCAGTTCCATGATGTGATCCCTGGCAGCTGCATAGAGATGGTTGTGGAGGATGCACTCAGGTATTATGAAGGTACAGTTTTCATTACAGCAGCTGTCCATTAAAATCAGAGCCATATTGTTATATAGAATTTTCCAAAATTAAAACTACATCACAATGTGTCTTAGATATCCGTAGTGATGGTACTGCACTGCTGCATGAGGCGTGTGGAGCCCTTGGGTCCAAAGGAAACGGTGTCGGTGTGTTCAACTCTCTGCCATGGGAGCGCCATGAAGTCATCCAAATTCAAGATGGTGCTGGTAAACCTGATCTTGGTATGTTAGATACTCATAACGATTAAGTTGTTGCCCTATGAAACTACAACTTTATATCTGATGTTATGTGGTATCTGTGTTGCTGCAGCTCTGGTGAGAGTCCCCAGTGTCGGTTTATCTCCTGTCAAAGACGCACAGCCGATGACTCCAGTCTCTGTCACTGTTCAGGTGCGTACTATATAAGGTATAGATAATTTAATTAATTTAGCCACTGTATGTTATAATTTAATTTGGACAACTGAGGTGCTGTGTAACATTACAGGCCGATGGCACCGTCCTCATGGAGAACGAGACTTTACGGACTGTTGTAAACAAAGATGGCACTTTGGCTTCACTGTGTTTAATCAATACAAACAGGTACTGTGAAACCACATGCGAAACATCTCTCTGTGTCTACTACTACATTAACATTAATAAACACCTGTCTCACCCTTTATTGGTTTCAGAGAAGCCATCTCTGACAGCTGCCATGGGAACCAGTTTGTCATGTTTGATGATGTCCCACTGTACTGGGATGCTTGGGATGTAATGGACTACCATCTTCAGACAAGGTGTCAGTCATTACTCTTACATCCATCCTATGACACCACGAAACTCATGAGAGTGTGTGCAGTTATTGTAGATATGAATACTGTGACCTTACAGGAAGCCGGTGCTGGAGGTGGTGCAGCCTGTCCATGTGGTGTCCTCAGGTGGGCTACGAGGGAGTGTCAGCTTCACCCTCAGGATCAGTGATAAAAGCACCGTCACACAGGAGATTGTCGTGGACGCCATGTGTCCTTACATCAAATTCAACACAGAGGTACCTTACAACATCAATGATATCTGGAGAAATTTTGAGACGAATTCTTCAGTACCCAAGAAATCCCCAATGATGAATCCTCCACTTTCAGGTGAAGTGGGCAGAGTCACACAAGTTTCTCAAGGTGGAATTCCCGGTGCGAGTGCACAACCCCAATGCAACATACGAGATCCAGTTTGGCCATCTGCAGAGACCAACACACAGGAACACTTCATGGGACTGGGCCAGATTTGAGGTACGCCACTGTGGAGTCAAGTGAATGAGTAGTGATTTTTCTTTTTAATCTTCCCTGATCCCCACAGGTATTTTGACAGCCGAACCTTGTGGCTTGTTTTGGTCCTGCACACCGAAATTGTCGGACAACAGATGTCAGTGATGTTGTTAGAATGACGGTAGTGCTGCTGAAGTGCTTTGTAATGTCCTGTTTTACATCATGGTTTCTGTCTTAGGTTTGGGGTCACAAGTGGGCTGACTTGTCAGAGCACAACTTCGGAGTTGCACTGCTGAATGACTGCAAATACGGTTATTCAGTCCACAAGAACACAATGACGCTGTCCCTGTGAGTTTTCCCACTGTTAATATACAACAAATTCTACAAATAGTACAATTCACTTACAGCTATTTTAAATAAACCTTGCATCTAACAGTGGATGTCTTTACTGTAGACTGAGAGCACCTAAGGCCCCAGATGCCAATGCTGACATGGGGACTCACCATTTCACCTATGCAATCATGCCACATACAGGTTTTATTTGTGTTTCAGATGCATTTTTGAAAATAAAGCATATTCATTAGAATTTAAAACTGTTACTGTGACATATGTGAAACACAAGTGTAACGTGATAATACTGTGTTTTGTATAGGATCCTTCCAAGACGCCTCTGTGATCCAGTGTTCGTACAACCTCAACTTCCCTCTGAGGTTAATCCACTGCACTCCTGACACTGTGCCCTGGAGTGCCTTTTCTGTCAGCACTGAAGCAGTCGTCCTGGAAACCATTAAGCAGGTATCCAGAGCACTCAGCTTGACCTAGCTTGACTTAATCCACTCAGCCCATTAAATGTTATTTACTCTAATTGCACGATTATGCATGACAAGGCCGAGGACCGGAAGGGAGCACTTGTAGTCCGCCTGTACGAGTCACATGGGAGCAGTGCGACTGCAACTCTCTGCACCACCCTTTCAATGAAGGAGGCATGGCAGTGAGTATTTCTATTTCTGGTGTTAACTGCTGTCTGGCATCATTTATGTCGTATAGTCTGCTAACTTTTTTTTTTTTTTTTTATTATTTTTCCCCTCCCTTCTTTCAGTTGTGACCTCTTGGAGAGACACACCCAACCAGCATACATTACATCAGAGGGAATTACTCTGAACTTCAGCCCCTTTCAAATTGTGTCACTTCTTCTCATCTTGTGATTATCAAGTCTTGGGGAGATCACATCTGGAATACTGATTAAATGTATGTGTGATGGAGAGAATTAAATTTAGTACAAATCAAGAATTCAGACTATATGACAGTCAGACCAATATAGACATTGGTCCTGAAGGTAGAATTTAGTAGTTTCACAGTAACTATGAAATTAATCATCAGGTGCTGCTCTGTTTACAGTCTATTATGTCTGTCAGGGGACTTAGAGTCTAGACTTGATTGAAACTGAGTGCAGCACATCTATTTGAGGGACGCACTATTGCCAAAAAGCCCCAAATACTTTTGTTTCAAATCAAACACTTGCAGAAATTTTGTAGAAGTGTGTTTTTATTAAAAAATAGTTGATAGTATAAAAACTTAAAAACATGCCTCCCTTTTTTCCCCCATTTTTATTACTTGTTCTGTCTGGTAACTCTGCTGCTCCGCCTCAGTGAGCCTGCAACAAGGAGGAATCCATTAGATTAAAATTGGTTCTAAAATTCCCTCAGTTGAAACAACTTTTCACTTTGAGAGAATATGAAGAGCTCACCTGCAGTTGGCACTGCACTGCTGCTCGCCCTCCTATGTGCAGTTGATCGCTTCTCGTGCTGTAGTGTGTTTACTTCCTGGTTGTTTTCGGTCAGTTTTTTCTTGGATCTGGCTTCCTTGCAACGTCCATCCTTTTCTTTTTTTGGCGTTTTGGTCACAGTTTCCCGTTTAACCACTCTTTTCTTCGTTGTGCTTTCAGAGCGACTCCTGGCCAACTAATGAAATCAAACTTTTGTTCAGAGGTACATCTGTAGACTTTAATACAAGCCAAGCAAAAAAAACAAAATAAAATAAAGACTGTTAATCTGTTAATACCTTTTTCTTGTCTGTGTAATCATGGTCATCTTCTTTCTTTGCTCTCTTTTTTGCCCTGGGGGACTTTGAATCTGTGATGAGCAAAATCGATGACACCAGATCAGTGAGACTGTTTCAGATACATTTAAGGTGTTTTATGTATTCAAGTATTACACACCTTTAGGTGCCATGGGGCCTGGGTCCCCCTGGAGGTAGAACAGTATGTATTAGTGTCAGTGATATACATAATCTTGAGCCAGAGATTAAAATATAGGCTGTTCCTTGAACTCACTTTAAACCACATTGTTCTGCCATTGTGGTCCCGGATAGATTTCATTCCATCCACGTAGTAACACTGCAGCCACGCCTCAAAGTCAGAGTAGTCTGCCTTCTCAGGGTCATAGCCCTTTCCACCTACAGTAAGTCATAAAAGGTTTCAAAAAATCAAAGACATTTCACAGAAAAATGAAACTGTAAGGATGAAGCCTTTCTCTAAAGGAAAGCTAACAATCCTTGAGACACGTGATCACTGACCTAGGTTGACCACCTCAAGAGGTACTGTATGACACAGTCTGAGCAGGTCCCCCATCTCCACTTTCACTCCTTTGTTTTTAGTTCTGTCGGAGGTCTTTTGGAAGGAAAACAGAGAGGCAGTGTTAGAAAATGCAGAGTGATTGTGGTTGAGTGTCTGATGATCTGAGAAATGTGGTTGTCCTTTTTGGGCCCTTTCACCTTTGTGTCAGCAATCTCATTTTTCACAGGCTTGCCACTTTCATATAAATCTTCTGACTCAAGGCCTTCCAGCGCGGTCCTGGCAGACACGAAGGGCGGAATGTTCAACCTTTAAAAAAACAAAACTGTACTTAAAGGCCTCTTCTTTTGTAAAACAATAAGGCTGTCTTGTCTTCAGTGTTTGAATCAGCACAGCTCCCCACAGAGAGTAACAAAATGAAAAGTGAAAGGAACCATTCATTTCATATCTGAAGGAAACAGACCTTGGAAAACATGTAGCGATGTATAAACCTATTGTGAGTGCCAGGCTCTCTGTCCTGTGAATGTGCATGCCACTGGTTATATCTGGCAAGGATATCCATCTGCAGACTAGACATACAAATACATCTACAGTAATATTTTAGTCTCCCCTTTAAACAAGCAAATACTGTAATATTGATCAGGGATGAACTCATCCAACATTTTCTGTTGGATCAGATTCTATCAGATTCCGATACCTCAACGCAGGGTACTGATCTGATACCAGTGCTCTCTTTTCCCCCAAATTTGACATCTGTATAAACCATAATTAAAATGGATTTTCATGTCAAACCTGATACCGACCCATTTAATAAGGTCAGTATCTGTAATAATAATGTACAAATGGATAATGTGTCATTTGAATAGTTGTGCAGGATGCGTATGTTTATCACCTGAAAAGGATTTCAGCCCTCAGATAGTTCCCGATACCATTGAAGTACTTCTGATTGAGCAGAACTTCACAGATGGGCCTGTCAAAAGCACGGTCAGACAGGTGCGACACGACGTTCTCCCTGCAAAATGTTTTACAGGTCAGTGCGATAGTGATATTTTCACTGAACATGGGACACAAGTGACACTCGTAACATGGCTAACCTGAAGCTCTTGTACTCAAACATGATGCAGGGCCCTCTGTCAGGCTGCCACGCTCCATTGGGATGCCAGCTGCCAAACCTGCGTGCATCCACAAAGCTCAGCACTCTGCAGGGTGTCTCGTTGGAATAAAAACGTAAATGGGCGTGTTTGGGCAATTCATCCTCTGTGGTGAGACGGAAATAGCCAGACATTCCAAAGCGGAAGACAATTTCCATGGGCTGTTCTTGTCCTGCTTTCAACCGCTCTTTAGGGCTATCGCTCTTCATGGGTGTCAGCGTGAGCTTCACTTCCTTGCCTCTGGAAGCAGCTGTGATGCGATAGGCCTCACAGGTGAAGGGCACATCAGGACTTTTGCTGACTTCAGATTTTCTGACCGGTCCAGTGAACACTACTCCCTGACACATTTTGTTTACATAAAGGCTGGCCAGGTGGAGCTCTGGTCCCTCAGGCATTTTGATGGAACAGATGAAGCTGTGCTACAACTGCAGAGAAAAAAAGTGTCTGAGCAAAGATAACGTCACAAAATACTGAGGGCATGTCATCTGTTTTCAGTGAGCTTGAGATATTTTACATTATACAATTTAAAAACTTACACATGGTAGCTATTTTTGAAGTTAATTCAGTATCTGAACACTCAATGTGTTTACAATGAACTACTTAACTAATTAAACTAACTTAATAAATTAAATATCAAAAAGTAATTATACAACATACAGTGCGGTCCAAAAGTCTGAGACCACCATTCAAAATACTTCTGCTTCCATTACAGCTTTAAGGTGTGTTTGGGGTCATTATCCTGCTGCAGTATGAAGTGGAAGAATGCAGTCTCTGAGAAATGGGCTAGTACTTCTCCTAAGCCAGGATGTGGTCAATTTGGTGCAGGTGTACAACTCCGGAGTAGGCAAAACACCCCAGACTTGAATATTCCCACCACCATGTTTCACTGTCGGTTTGATATACTGTGGTATCATTCTCTCTACTGTTTGCCTCCTTACATACACAAATCTCAAACTTTTATTCATCAGTAAATCTGACTTTAAAATAGGACCATTCATCCACTGTTAAATGCTGGTATATCTTAGCCCAGCATTTGGCCTCGTCCCTTGATGTATTCCAACACTTTCGCTTTCTTCTGATGTCATTTTCCCTACAGTGCTACTTGGTAAGCAATGACCTACTGGAAGCTTGAGGCACAGCCTTATTTATAACAGGTGAACACTGTCTGCAAATGTAATTATTTTAATGAGCCTCTAATGGGTACATGATCAAATGCACTAGTGTAGTACATTATATAACTTCATGTATTCTTAAGTGTTTCAAACATATTGATTATTTAGTTTTACGTGAAAATACTACAGATTTTCAATGTGGTCTCAGGCTGTTTGAAGCCACTGTAATATGCGTGTTCCGAATGTATTGTTGATTAATCATTTCACCCAGTCTGAAAAAAAACATCCAGTTTCTACATTGCTCCATAACAAGGGGAGAGAGTACCGGTAGGAACCACACACAGGTAAAAACTGGCGTGCTCACTCAGGTGAAAGAGCACGGCGGTTCAAATAACTTACCCAAACCAGGAAAGAGACTTCGCTGTTGATAAACTTGCTAATTTATCAAGCCGAAAGTGCAGTTTTTTAACCTACAGAGGTTGTCTTGCTCCTCCACTCTACACCGCGCTGCAGCAATGGGCACATGTCACCAACCACAAAGCTTTCACAACATGCTTGTTACCAAACAACTTGTGTAACATCACCGTTCACCAATCATTCTTTTGAAAGTATCGCGAGATCTCCGCGCTTCTTACGCTTGTTATTTGTAATCGAGTAATTCTCAGGTATTTCTGATCTAAGTGGATGTTTTTGTCATACTCTCTAATGATGCATTGAAACAGGTTCATATTAGATGCACGGTAGACAACCGTAGTAACCTAGCATGAGAAAACCGAGCAGCCCGATGCATGATGGGCGATGTAGTCGTTACGGATCCTGGGCGAGGATAGAAATATTTCAGTGTTTTACATGTTATTTATTTGTTTTATTTATATATGAGCATATTAAGACAACACACAAATTATCAACATCATTCTAATCAAATTTTGTTAAGTAATACTCAATATTTTACAAAAATGGTCAAATCGGTACTTCTGCTTCAGTGACAAATCACCCAGTCTGGAAACATTCTCACCAATTAATGTGGCAGAAAAATACAATTAAATATCAGTTATTCCAAATAAGGAATGACCCTTTCACCTAAAATTTTTGAACTGCATTCATACAAACAAATTAGGCTGTACAAGATGTAGGTATGGCACTTTTGGCAGTCGATCAGCACGCGATTCAGCTCTTGATCAGACATTTGAGGTCAGACTTCATTATAGTGCATTCATCATTGTCTGGGCTTGTTTGAGCTCTGTAGAAACACACAAAGGAATATAATAAACAAAATAAATAATAAAATTCATTTGAAAAGGAAAAACCATCAGAAAATTGTGATTTGACTAATGCAGAACTGACCTGCAAGCAGGACTCTGAACTTGTCAGCAGAGACAGAGACAACAGTCGTCTCTGTGGAGCCTGACTCTGCTCCTTGTGCCTGGAGTTTAAGCTGAATCACAGGTTCATTCACCTCTCGTAGCTCACTGGAGCTCAGGGTGTAGTCAATGCGCCATGACACTGCTTCCAATCGTCCTACTGAAATTCATGACAGAGCAGAATGAGTTAGTCAGCCTCACAAATAGCAGCGCTCATCATCAATAGTTTTTGTCTTCCTCTTTGAAGAGGGCAAGACAGACAGAAATACTTACATCTCAGGCTCGTCTCCCTGAGTTTGTCTTGCAGTGCAGAGTGCTTGTCTTCATATGATTTGCAGAGTCCTGTTGTGTGTTCTAAAAGGTCAGGTGTGCATAATTAATAGTCAGGATTTATTTCAAGCATATTCACATAAAAGTGTTTTAATGTTGTATCAGCAGTACTAAGACTCAATAAACTGACTCAATTAAACAGCATTAAAATAGAACACAATCTCAAGCTGGCGGAGTCAACTGGGAGTGCTTAATACTAGTGGGGCACCAAAGTCACAATGCACCACACCACCCACAACACCACAGTGCATTGTCCTTGCTGTACAATGTTCCCTTCAAGTACCAGCTGAATACACGTTGTACCAAATATATTACACAATAGGCAATTATAGTCAATAATCTCAAACAATAACACAATAGGCTGTGATTTATGACCTGCATGTTTCTGGAAATGAGGCCATTGTTTGTGTTCTCTGAACTAAGGTCCATTTTCAATTTATATTTGACCTGCTGGGACTCATATTCTGGGCATAGTTTCATAACAAATGTGCAAATCTTGAAAATATCTGTATTCAGTAGCCTTTGGTTGTCTGACAGCTATATGGCTCTGCTAAATAAGCTCCATTTAATGCAGAATAGCAATGAAATATTACAAGTAGTTTAAAAAATTGGTCAGATGGTGTTTTTACACATTTGTTCTACTATCCTTCCTTTTGGCAAAAAATGGGAGCATGGCAAGAGTTTTGGGCATGTGTGAGCATAGATTACATAACATAATCAGCATTTTTATACCAAACATGGAGAACCACAGGGGACTGACCTTTTGGCAGACCGAGCTGCTGCAACTCACTGGATAGAGATTCACTGTCAACATCATGCTTTGCTGCACTGGAGAAAATGAAGCTGAGCACTGCCACACTAGCTTTGATGTCTCCACTCTCTGCAAAATGGAATGATGTCACGAATGCATGTTTTATAAAAAAAAAAAAAAAAAAAAAAAACAATACAATGCAAGTGTGATAATGTTATGGGCTTGTGTGTAAGGTAAATGAGTCAGATTTAAAGGCAGTACCAATGTAAGTAAGAGCATTTACTCAAATAATGTACTTAAGAACAATTTTGAGGTAGTTGTATGTGAGTTTTTGTGCCTCTTTATACTTGTTTTTCACTACATCATACATAAAGTAGCTTCCCCTTGACCAACTACAACAGCAAAATGCTACATTACACCATCAGTAACAATCCAATAATATGTACTTTTACTTCAGTATTCAGTGCAAGACTTTTATTTGTATAGGAGTACTTACATACCTTTACTTAAATTACAAGATAAGCTTTATTGATTGCAGGGAAACTTAAATGTCACTACAGCAGAAGTATAGGAACAAATGCATAGAAGTAACTAAAAAACGAGTACACTGTATATGTGCATCTGCTATGTACAAATGAAACAAATAAGACAAGGAAGCTGCAATAAGAAAATCAAATACAAAAGTTACACTATAAGGAATGAAACTGCGTGGAGGGTAAAGTGTCACGTGTCTAGTATCTTAAAATACCGTTATTGCACTTGTAGGTATAGTAAAGATCTAAATACTTTTTCCACAGAAGGGAGACTTACCAAACTTTGCATCTGCAGTAAGCTTTGCAACCTTTTCATACTAAAAATGTAAAGAGACAAGCAATATTAATCATTGTGGGTGAAATGTGTGTGTATAACTTCAACTATGTGTCAAAGTCTTACATCAATGCCTTCCCCAAGCAAATCCTTCAGCACTTGAGCACACAGGAGTTTCATCTTGACACTTGACTGTCACAGATCGTAAGGCAGAAGACACACGTATTATTACAAAAAAAACTATAAACTCACACTGAAAAATAATATTGCTGTATTGATTACGTATATGTAATTTGCAACTACTCACAATTTTCGCTAATGTGCTAATTTCGGCAAGCACCCAATCTGGGCAATCCAAATCTCCACAGAAACGGAACCGCTACATCAGACAAGACATAATAAATGTGTCATATAATGTACTGCAACAAAAGCATCACCTCAAACACTGCAGCGTGAGCATTTACATTAGCCATCCATCATTAAATGCTACTAGCTAAGCTAGCCATTCTGCTAGCCATACCTGAAACCCGGGCTAAACATTGATAGTGTTGAACTAAATAAATACGTAAAGCATTTACAAAGCATGCAACTAAAACGTCATCTGAATAAAAGGACTTCTAAAGAAGCAAACGAGTTCAATAGTTGTTGAATAATACGATTGTTAAACGTGTTTACCATGGCTGTCGGTCAGCTGAGTAGCTGCAAATAAAAACAATATGAACAGGAAGAGTATTGCTGCTTCCTCTCATCTGATTGGACGATGGGGGAGCGGGGCGGGGCGTGGCATTTTTTCAGCTTGAAAAGATCATGGTCCTGAGCTGAATCTTCTGTTTGGGCCCAGTCACATCTTAAATAAAACACACATTGCATTGCTGAGTCACCTTGACTTTTCCTACTTATGTACTTAATGGCTTATGAACATGATTTTGAACTGATGCTTTGCTTTTGAGAAAATCGTAAAATACTTCTGTTTGAGGTCTCAGAGATTACAGTTGTAAAACATGGTTAAATACAATAGATTTGAATATGATCTATATGTATGAGTGGTGTTGACAGAGCAACACTATCTCTCTCAAACATCACACAAATCTATTTCGATCTATTTGTTATTGCAATTTGATAACAGAATGAACTTACCCCAAACAGAAGTTAGTGTTGCTATGTAGGATAATATTATTTCTTTGTCTGTGAATTGCTTTTTGACAAACAAAAGGGATACATCTGTGATTGAAATCTTGTGATCTGGTTAATTTGTGATGGAAGCAGTTTCAGGAGACCCAGATGTCTTAGAAGCATTTATTGAAGCTCAATGCATTGAGGAGAAGAGATGAGCAATACAAGTTTTTAAAAAAAAAAGAGTTAACACTATGTGCCACCAAATTCTGAAGGTCACATTCTTTGCAGGGCATATCTAAATGCATACAAAACTTACTACATTTCCAAGTCAGCAGTCCAGGCAGTACTTTCCCAAGGTTTAGCAACTGAAGGTCCCTTTTGTTATGACTTTATCATATCTTTAAGACCTTGGCAACTGTTATTGGGTACTGGGCCAGCTTGAATCTATCAGTCTACAGGGGAGGCAGACAATGAACTACTGGTTTTGTGGAAACCTGTGGAAACCCTGTCTAATGCTACCTAAAGGCCAAAGAAGGAAAAGTCATGTGCAAAACCTTTAGACATTTGTGAAAAAATGCTGTAAATGAGGCCATTTATAATTTTTATTTATTATACTTGGTGCAGCAAACAGAAAAAATCTCAATCAAATTTGATGCAATCATATTTTGCCTTTGCAACACCAGTTCTCTCACGTACACTTGCACACCGTTTTTCAAGGTACTTGGCAGGTAGCTTGCTCCAAGCCTTTTGGAGAGCTTGGATTTAAGCTGTATCGTCCAATCAGACATTGAGGTCAGGGCTCTGTGGGGGCCATACCATCTGTTGCAAAGCTCTTTGTGCTACACTGAAGATACAGTAGTTCTTTATGGCTGTGGTTGTATATGTGAGGTCATTTTTGAGCTGCAGAATGAATTTGGGACCAAACAAGTGCCTCCCTGATTTTCTATTGCCGGTTTACAGGGTTTAGTAAAATGCAACAATTATGCTGGTGTTTGTCACCAAACAGAAACAGTAGAACATGTGCTCATTACTTGTAGGACATGTAGCAGAAAGACGGGACAGGATGACAAGGATGTAGAGGGGGCAAAAGGGAACAGGACTGAAAAGTATACATCTTCAGACTTAGTTAAATCCAGTAGGGGGCAGTAACTCAGATGCCAGCTGCTTGCCTGTGGCTGCCTTCAGCCAAATGACAGGTGTGCTCTCCTAATGGTGTCAAATAGGCAGGAAGATTGATCTTATGATCAGATCTAAAGTTTAAGAATTTGTTGTGGGACAAACGTGGGCAAATGCAAGTTAAGCATACAATTCTGGACAGGTTGGATGTTAGAAGATCATTTGCAACATGCCAAGAGATCCGAGGACTGGGCTGAAAAGAAGTCGGTGAAAAAAGCTGAAAACAAAAGAGCATCATGTATCTGGTCAGTTCTTCGCTTTCACGAGCTGATGTCAATGTTTATATATATATATTTACTGGGGAAAAATAGGGGAAGGTTTAGTGGGCTACAGTGGAAATGGAAATATCCAGTGGAAATGTTGTCTGATGAAAAGCTCGGATGAGTCAGAGTTTTTTTTTTTAAGGTTTATTTTATTTGTCTCTCTATGGAACTGTCATAGTTTGCCATGGCAGACACTTTTTGTTAGTTTTGTTTGGACTTTTCTCACTTCCTGTTTTATTTTGTAATTGGTTTCCTTGTGTGTTAGTGTGCAATCACCTTTGCCTCCATTGTCTATATAGTCTTTGTGCTCCCCTTTGTCTGTGTCGGTTCGTCTGTTGATTTCTGATTTTGTCTTCGTCGATTCACATGCCTGTTCATGTGTGGTTGTCCTCAGTCTGTTCATGTTTCCCTGTCTCCTATTTTAAGTTCCTGTGTTTCCCTGTGCTTCACCAATGTTGTGTGTAAGCTTCTTGTTTTGTTAACCCTCCTGTTATGTTCGTTTCTCAGGAACAGCAATGATGTTCCTGGGTCAATTTGACCCGGGGCATGTTTAATTATCCAGAAGTGTCAGAAACCAAAAAATCCCAATAAACATTGTTTATATCTCATTATTAACTGCATTACTAACCATTTCAATCAATATTTAGTGTAATGGTGTTCTTTACCTCTCACAGATCATGATTCAATGAGGATAATTCACTCGTTTTTCATCAAAAAATGCATGTTAAAACTTTTTTTAATGTACTTTGGAAAGACCTACATATAAAATACAAGACTTTTACATGACATTAATTTTTTTTTAATTTTATTTTACATTTTGAAATTTTTTTATTGAGTGATGTTGATAAATTAACACGAGACACCTCTTCTGTTCATCCAGTGTGACATTAGGGCCTGGGTTATAGAGTAGTGGAAGTTGCTCTACCCACTTGTCCCACACTGTCCTAATAGCTGCCAGCTTGTCTCTCTCCCGTCTGACAGCCCTTGTCTCTCGATTATCAAATTGGATTACTCTGGAGAAAATATGAAAAGTCTCCGGAGACATTGTGGCACGAAATATAGCCCTGCCTGTGTCTGCATCCCACAGACTGGCTGTTAATTCATCCTTTGACTTATAGACCCCAGCCAGGATGAGGACCCCCAGATATGCATTTAAATGCATTTCATCCTGCTCCTTACACTTCTCCCCTAAAACACGCCTTCCTTCTAGATTAGCCATTTCGATAATGATTTTCTGTATTGAGTTGGGCATGACCAGCTCAAAAGCTGACTTGATGTCTGTCACACGAGCCTCCTGGGCTGTCACCTGTTTACTTCTGCTGCTCATTTTGTAAAGCTGTGACAGAGAGTATATCATATGTAGCTGCAGAGTGTAATGTTGGTAGGACTCCCTTGCAGAGAATCTTTATATGTTTTGCCCCTCCCCTGCTGAGTGTCCACTCAATGTGGGTGGAGTTTGCCCACGGGAACAGAAAAGGTTCCCGTCAAAAGTCACAACAACACCTGCATTCTTGCACTTTACAGATGAGGTCAAGAGAATAGGGAGAGGGTGTGTGTGTGTGTGACTGGGCTGAAATATGTCTCACAGTTGCAAAGAAACAAACAGTATTTGACACTTTTGACCCCTTTTAGCCTTTTTTTTTTAGATTTTTTAACTTTAAAATGATGGCGGGTTCGAGTCCCGGCTCGGACACGGGGTCTTTCTGTGTGGAGTTTGCATGTTCTCCCCGTGCCTGTGTGGGTTCTCTCCGGGTACTCCGGCTTCCTCCCACAGTCCAAAGACATGCAAATGGGGACTAGGCTGATTGAATACTCTAAATTGACCATAGGTGTGACTGTGAGAGTGAATGGTTGTCTGTCTGTGTGTTTGCCCTGCGATGGACTGGCGACCTGTCCAGGGTGTACCCCGCCTCTCAAATCCCAGCATCAAAGGATGCTGGGATAGGCTCCAGCCTAGGGGAGGGAGGAAGAGAAAGAGGAGGAGGAGGAGCAGCAAAAGCCACAGTCTCTGTTGGTTAGCCTATTCGGTCTGCTCCGATAAGCTGCGAGCAGCTTCAGTAGAGTTGATACATACAGGCACAATACATACTCTCTAAATAAGGCACAAAAATGAAGCGATTTGTCATCATTTACATTTGGCTTGCCGGGGAATTTCAGCTAGTCCTTAGTGTCGATTTGAAGGACACGCCGATTCTTGGATCTAAAAATACTCCAAGACTTCTGAGCAAGGGTAAGCTTCATTTCTCATTTCTGAACAACTGACTGAGAAATTAGTTGGCAATGTAGGTATCCATGTAAAATTAATGTCTCGAATAAGTGTAGCTGTTTAGAAACAGGCTTGCAGTCAATCCTGTCATCAGATCCCTTTTAAACTCGCCAACATATACGTGAGTTTAGATAGATGATCATCTTTACTCTCCAAAAAACAGGTAACACCGGGAGAGGGAATCAAAATTGCAGACATACCACCGCATACAGCCCATGTCACACTTTACAAGAATCATGCAGTAAACAGAGGTTAAATTTACTAAGATAATTTGTATACATTTAAATGAAACACTAACACCTGCACATACATGATATTTAAATAATTTTGTAATATTATAGTCATAATTGTTATGCACACAATTCAATTACAAATTTAATGATGATTTTATTAATGTAGCTTGAGAGGGAAAACAGTTTCAGAAACATTGTGGTTTGTCATTGCATATGACAAACCACAATATAGTCTCAAAAATGACCATAGAACTCTACAGCTACAGTAGAGAGAGAGAGATTAGAAGTCAAACTTTACAGCACCAGACTTATTTCAATTGTAGTGGCTTTTTCTTCCTTCTCTTGGTGTTTCTGTAATAAAGTTCTGTACATCTGAACTGATCACACAGACTTTGAGCAGTACTAATAACGGACTGGAATTTACTGGGAGCTGTACTGGGAGCTACCGCTGCTAGATGCACAACTATTTGAAACAATTTGGATACTTCTGGATTCTTACTACTTTTTTCTGAGCTTTTCAGCAAGACCTTTTATTTTAACTTTGTTCATCGGATCAAACAGACAGTAGATCTTTTGATGTGACTGCACAAAGCGGGCATTGACATTGTTCAGTCTGAATCTTCACTTACATCCTCCCAAGTCTAAAATATGACAATGTGATCCTTCATTTTTTGTCCCTCCCTCAGATACAGTCAGTGGTGGATTTAAATATCAAGTCTATCAGAATCATAGTGTCTTATTCCATCATGAGGACTCTGAGGAGATGTATATCGGGGGGACTGATTTTGTGTTAAAACTTGACATGGATGACTATCATGTCATAGAGGTGGGTGAACCATTGCTTTTCATCTTTTTTTATTTCATGTATTTTATCACCTGCAGAAATGCACTTGCATGTAGTTTTTATCAAGTCGTCTCATATTTTATTGATGTATACTCTCAGCTTGATATCTGTGTGGAAGTGCAGCTGGTCATAATTAGATATTACTGTAACAGATGGCTGTGACAGACCCATTGTTCTCTTGGTCTTTCAGTGATCCACTGACAGGTACTCCCTTTCAAAGCCATTTCTGGCTTCAAGCTCCTGATTAAGTGCAGCTGGTGGTGAACACGTCACAAACAGACCCTGATGACATACAACATACAAGAGTTTCCATAGTATTGCACATGTATACCAGAAAATTCAGATTATGCCAGACACTTTCATGAGGCCACTTTAATTCATCCACTCTTAAGAATGAATGAAGGATGGGCTATTGATTGTTGTCCATTAAACTAGAGCAGATGACAGCTCTGACCGTAAGACACACATAGATTTTCATTTCACTGATGGATACCAGTCTGTGGCAGGAACAACTGAAACCATTCAAAGACATTATCTTGAGTGAAACAAGTTTGGTCAAAGAAAGTAAACCTGAGAGAGAAAATCTCAGATAGGTGCCATACTTTTTACTCTTATCTATCCTCCAGCTATTTCAAACATCAAGTAATCACTAAAAGCACCAGATTTTTGGGCAGAGCTTTTAGAGCAATATTATTTTTGGTTAGCAACTGACAAGGACTGTTTAAAAATCTTAATCTTCCATTTATAATGCCTCATTTTATTTCTCCCACAGAAATTTACTCTGAAAACAACGGGGCAACAGCAGTGCCAAGAGGTTGGTGACTAGAGAATGATGATTTATGTTATCAGAAATGACTATTCAACAAGTATGCTGAGTAATGGATTTTTAAAATGAAATATACAATCTGTTCTGTGTAACAACTTGGCAATAACAGCCTCTCTGCCATAGGGTCCCTGTGAAAATGTCATCACTGTCATTGAGAAGTTTCAGGACAGTTTGTTTGTCTGTGGGACAAATGGACACAAACCACAGTGCTGGAAACTTGTGAGTGTTACACGTTATACTCAAATGACCAGTGAGACTGCAGATTGCAACTAACTGAATGTTGATAAAATGTAAACACGCAAAAGACCCTCTCTAGAGCCAGTGTTTCGTTTGTCCATTCTGGGCTCTGTAGAAACATGTCGGTGCAACATGGTGGGCTCTGTGAAGGGCTCATTCTAAGGTTAACATCAACATGATTTTTTTTTTTGTTTCAGGTGGTTATAAGCTCATGAAAACATAATTATGGATATTATATTCAATTTCTGCCAACAACAGATACCCCTAAATCCTACACACTGGTCCTTTGATATCATATCCGTCTGAGACACTGCAGTTTTTTTTGTGGCTATTCTGGTAACAGCGGGGCACAGCTGCAGTTGTGGTTCTGATTAAACTTTAATCAAACAACCCTGTTTTATAATTTAGGTAGGGTGATGGGTGGCTGGTGTTGGGTGGTTCGGTGTTTTTTCCATCACACTTGTCTATAGAACTATCCTAACATTTTGTTGGCTGTCTGTGGTTCCACAGTTTTCATCAGTGAACAACCAGTCTCATGAAATAGTGGAGAGTTATGAGGGGACGGGCATCTCCCCGTTCGTGTACACCCAGAACTCCCTATCAATCACAGTAGGTAGGTACAGTACAGTATAGTACAGCTTCTTGCATTACTGTAGGTCATGTGTTTGAAGGTTTAAATAGTGTGGCTCACAATTGCAGACTTATGTAACAATAACAAGTCATGTGTGACAGTACTGAGTTGGCAAGCCAGTGCATTTTCACATAAATATTCTCAATAATTGAACATTTCTGCGTCTTCATGTGATGTGTCTCTGATATTTTTAGATGGGGACCTATATGCAGCAGCGCCATTGGGTGCTGACAGAAGTTCATTGCAATTCAGAAGGAAAGCTGGCAGCAGAACTAATGTGTGGATGTATGACAACTGGGTCTCAGGTGGGAAAGGAAAGGACGGAAATGTCTGATGATTATTACACTGCAGTATTCTGATGTGACAATACAAAATGCTGCCATAAACAGGGAAAATAAGCAATAATTAATGTTTCTGATCTGATTCCTGAGTATCATTTAACGTGAATCGGGGCGTTTTTTCCAGAAACACTTCAACGATTTATCTCATACTGTTCACTCCTCAGTGCAGAGTGATTATCGTGTTGATTTTTCCATGCCAAGCTTTTGCGTCACACGTGTGCTGATCCTGCACTATACTGTAAACAGTGGAGTTTGATAAACATATCCTCCTCCTCTTTTCACAGAGCCCACATTCATCTCTGCGTCCTGGGTGAAGCGAAAGGAAGATCCTGAGAATGATAAAATATACATATTTTTCCGTGAAAAGAACTCGGACCACAGCCCAGAGGCCGACCCCTGGATATCAAGGGTTGCCAGAGTTTGTAAGGTACGCAGGACACTGGAGTGCACTTGGCTTACGTCAGTGAAGCTCACACCTTTCTAAACCACTAAGCTCTCAAAAACCTCATTAGCTCAGCTTTAGTAATCAAGCTAATAGTCATCCAAGTCTAGTTCAAGTAACATGGAAGGTCAATAGGAATTGATTACTTGATGCTGGAACATTTCTATTGTTGTTAGTTTTGATGATACAGTATTCATATTAAATGTCAATGTGATCTCATATGAAAAATAAGGTTGTAAGGGTGCAGCTACAAGCATGACAATTTTTATCATTAAAAACAGCAAATGTATTGTCATTTAGGAGAGAGCAATTTATCAATTCTGACTTCAATGCATCATTGATAGGCTACTTCTGAATACATTTTTATTATCAGAGAGAAATATACCAAACATTTAGTACTTCTCTGAACTAACAAGATGATCACTGCATGCAAACAAACAACAGCAGCAGAGAAGAAGAGAGTGTGCACTAAGAATGTGATTTAATGTGCCACGGATCAGTCCTATTGGTGCCAATCCTATTGGTGCTAGCGTCGATACTTCAAATAGGACTTGGTATGGGTACTATCAGTATTAGGTATCAATCTGTCCACCTATGGTTCAAACAACATTGATTGGATGAAAAAGACTAGTATTACCTCTGGGGGGGGGGGCTAACCTCTTTCCTTGACCTCAAAGGAAAATATTATGAAGTCAAGGAGAAATATGAGGGAGAATTCATAAGGCAACTGCGGCGCTGAGAGGATCTGACTGCACTTTTTTTTATTAAACCAACTTTATTTATAAAACATAGAGCGTAAATACTCCTTTCTAAGCACAAAACAAACAGGATTAAAATGCTGATATAACATAAAATGAAAGAAATATAGAATAAGAAAGATTTAAGTATATAGAGTTTCCTGGCATAGGCACTCTTGACCTTTTTTTTTTTTTACATTTGTTAAGTAGAGAAAGTTAATTTCAGTGCATTCCATGATGGGGGGTATTTAGTGAAACATTTATGTATATAGTGTTTCGTTATGATGATGATATTGTTAACTATAAATTCAATATGCTTGCTCATCATGACGACTCCTAACTAGATTTGAGAGAGTAGAGATCTATATCCATGAATTTGGAGCTCAGCCAATCACACAAGGAAGAAGTTTTGCATCGTGTCACAAATATAAAATAGATGCTCTATTGTTTCTACATTTACATGGGACTACCCTGGTGAAACTATTGCACAATGGTGCACCACATAAATGTTGCTGCTGCACAGAATTGTGGGATGCCATTATCTCCTTTCCTTTCATAAAGAAAGTCCGGTGTATTCTATGCAAAAGGAGATACGATACGAAGCACTGAAGCTCCTTTCAACAGCATTCAGGAAATTTGATCAGCTCGCTTAAATACTTCCAGAGAACAAGACTGTATAATACATTGATATTGATATATGCCTATAGGACTCATAAAGAACGCTCAGTGAAATGCAATAATAATTTCATGCTCTGTCAGTGCGTCTCCTGCTTTGCCAGTCAAAGGAGATGAAGTGCCACCATCTGTCAAAGCAGTGTTATTTGATGTTGACGTCAGTCTTTGTTTCATTCAGGGAACCATGTTTAAGGTCAACCACTATTTACAGGTTTATCAGAAGAGTTATGGCACATGGATGTGTTCATACTGAGGGCTCAAGCTGTCATCAAAGATTATATGATAACCTTGTTGGAAATTAATTATTGGCTTGCACTGTGCTTAAAAAAACAAAGGGTGATGGAATTATAGTGGGAAAGGTGATATGCCATGGTTTTGTAAATACAGTGCCAGGGTCTGACAAGTGTACACATAATTAAAGTATTGAAGCAGATTAATGTAGTAGTACAAAGGTGTGTTGCAGGGTGGTCTCATTCCCACTATCCAAGAGTCAGCCTTCCTCTTCCTTGATAAACTGCTGTCTTTTCACCCTTGTTATTTGACATCCCTGCAAAACAAGACTTGTCTTATCATGGCCCATGTCACCTCAGTCCTATCAAATAACGCTTGGTTGATGAATTTCAGCTAGCAAGAAAATTGAAAGAGCGTCTTCCCGGTGTAAATCATCTGTATTATTTTACAGGTAGATGAAGGAGGATCAAAACGATTCTTCCAGAACATGTGGACATCTTTTCTCAAGGCCCGACTTGTCTGTGGATTTCCATTAGAGTCGCTGTATTTCAGCCGTCTCCAAGACATCTATGTGATGCATGCCGAGGACTGGCACGACACCAGAATCTATGCCCTTTTCACGAGTAGCTGGTTCGACACTTTTCCTTCCTTTTTATTGTCAGCAACTAGGCAGCAACATGAGTAAAGCGCTTATTGGGCAACACAGAATAGCTCTTGCTTTAAATTGAAAGCTCAGCATTTTGAAATGTTTTGGAGACAAAACTAACCTTGTCCTGTAGGTCTGGACCCACGCAGTGTGTTACTGAACAAGCTTTGTCATGAATAACAACCGCCATGGAGAGCGGGTTTTCCACGTGACCAAAACATAAACAGATATCAAAAAACTAAATCTGATATGATCTAATATGTGTCCCTGAGGCTACATGTTGACACACTATGTCTTATGAGTGGGTTTAGGATTCAAGATTAGACCCACACATAAGAATAACATTATGCACTATAACGTTATGTCATGTGCTATAATACCATCATTTCATTTGACTGGCCCCGCCCAGTAGGAGGCTCTTTCAAACTTAATGTCCCCTGTTTGCGAGGCATGAATTTACATATCATCGGGACTATCTCGTCAGACTTGACAAAGCTCCCCCAGAGCCTCATAAGATATGAAACCAGCTGAGTGGTACTTCTCATAACAAGTAAACTGACCATTATGTGTAAATTCAGTGGGACATGCCTCATTGAATTCCATCCTGAGCAGATTCTCACACCATGTGCTGTATTTGCTCGATGGCCAAGGGAGCTGCCCTTCTAGCACTCAACCAAGCCTCTGAAAACTGACAGGGCCCTTGTGTCTGAAGTGGAAACTGAATATTTGTCAATAAGTTTGGAGGATTTCCCACTTATTCTGTCAGATACACAAAGTTTGATTGATGGGGTTGCATGAATCTGGTATGATCTATTTTGTGAGGACTGCACTCAATTTGGCTAATCAATGAAAAGTTATTCAGTTCTTCTGTGCCCTGCCCTGTGCCACAAAACTTTTGTAAAAATCCAATCATTACTCTTGAGGTATTGTGCTATCCATGCTAACCTCGGTTGTCTTTTTTTAACTGCTAGGAACTCTACAGCAGTTTGCATCTATTCTATACGAATGATTGAAGAAATATTTGAGACCTCAACTTTCAAAGGCTACAACAAAGACATCCCCACACCAAGGCCAGGAACGGTAAGGACTTGTTTTGTTACAATGTGGCTTTGCAGTTACAGAGCCTGGGTGTAGATTTAAAAAAAAAAAAAAAAAAAAAAAAAACTCAGACATGTTACATAAATGGGTGGAATTTCCTCTCTATGCAGTAAATTGTAGAGAAAACCACTTGCTTGTTCCAGCTATTCAGTTTGCAGCTGGAGGAGTTTGTCTTGAATTTGCTTTTATACAACTTTGTATATACTTGTACTTTGTATACCTGATGACGTCAGAATTGCTTAACCTGCAAATATTCAGTTTTGTGTCCATGTATCTCTCAGTGCGTTCCAAATAGCAGGAGACTGCCACCGGCCACAGTCAATGTGGTGAAGGATAACCCTGAAATGACTGACTGGGTTCACTCCATGCACTACACAGCTCCGTTTTATATAAGCAGCAACAACTATACCAAGATAGTTGTGGACCGAGTTCAAGCAGTGGACCAGCACATGTATAACATCCTGCTTCTAGCCACTGGTAAACTGTGGAATCTCTGTGTGTTTCCCCATTGACCTCTCTTGTAATCATGCATTATTTATAATCTCTGCTAGAAACAATGGGCTAAAAATATAGCATTAGGTAGCACTCCCAAAATAACACCATTTCATTTTGCTCTCTGTGTGTTGTTCCAACAGATTCTGGGAAGATCCATAAAGTCTTAGAGGCCGGATCTGAACCTTTCATCATCTCTGAAACTCAACTCTCCAACAGTTCATCCATACAATCAATGAAACTCAACTCCAAAAAGGTACAGCTCATTTAAAACGCCAATTCGCCACATAAGTGAATTTTAAGATATCAATATTGAATATTAACAATGGTTCAAATGACTATGTGTAAAGCACAGTTGGGCTATAGTTAGTCCCATGTCAAAGATCTCACGATTATGCTCAATGCACATGTGCAAATTTCCAAAAAGTGCTGCTTCCCTTCTCTGTTTGACTTGAATACTGTTTTGGTTTGCTTATTGCACCGCACTCAAGTTGGAAAAGAAAGCTATTAATGCAGGCTTAAAGGGAAATTGTGTTTTTGTCTTTCATTGCTCAGAAAAAGTTAGTCATGGGCTTTTCAGAGAAAATCTCCACCTTGGACCTCCAGAAGTGTCAGGAATACAACTCCTCCTGTGAAACATGTGTTCTGGCCCGGGACCCATATTGTGCCTGGACTAAGTTTGGATGCACCCCGACTGTCCCGTAAGTGTGGACATTGTTCACACCAAGACCCTTTAGTGCACAATGAGAGTCAAACATTTTATAGAAAAAGCAGATCATCTATCACATTAAAAGAAAAGAAAAAAAAAGTACTACTTGGAACATGTTTTGTTTTTGTTCACAGTGGGGGCATTCAAAATGTCATGAATGGAGAAACAACTGTGTGTCCCACATCAGCAGAAGGTAACTAATGACTGCCATTATTCATACTACACACTGGCTAAAGGCCCACAAAATTAAGATCAGATCTATATTTTATTTTGTTTTAATTCTTTTAGGACAAAAGCAAGTAAACCGGACCAGACGGGAGATAGATTCATCATCACCAGTGCATTTGAGCACGGTTCATTCAGTCGCCCTGAGTGTCCCTTTCTACCTGTCGTGCCCCATAGACTCTTACCATGCGGTCTACACCTGGGAGCACAAAGGCAAGAGCAGCCCTTGTCTGCAAATGCAGTCTAACTGCCTGCACCTCATCCCTGCCATGACACAAGAGAACTATGGCGTCTACGAGTGTGTTTCCAAAGAAAAAGACTACACAAAAGTGGTGAAAAAATATCACCTTACGCAGCAAAGGATCCTCACAAAGACCGCAAGTGAGACGCCTTATAAAGAAAACGATGTTGCGTCGCAGACAGTATCTATCATACTTGGACTGGCTGTAGCAGTGCTTCATCTAATTATTATTTAAACTTTCCTCTATTTTCTCTTTGAAAGGTCTTCCGGTTGCTCCAAACCCCACATTTTGAAAATGGAGCATCAGCATTCACAGGCCCTTTTTCCTCTGCCATGGCTAATCATGCCAGGACACAGGCAGCACTAAAGGAAATCCACTGTAACACAACAACTCAAACTGGAACACTCCTCCTGTGAACTTCAAACCAACTTAGTGCAGCTGTTGACATAGTAGAGGTGTTTGGCAGAAGAGTTTCAAATCTACAGGAACAAGCTGTCGCCAAGTTTAGAACAGGAAAAGGTTGATATTATGAAAGGAGCAAATCACGACCAATCAACAGCAGGATGCAGCTTAGCTCACCTGTGGAGTTTGTTTAGATCTTGATCCTGCATGAAGCATTGTAATGTTTCATTGAGTGAGTACTTGTCTTTCTTTTAAGACAAGGAAAAGAGGGGAGGTATAAGAAGTAATCTGAGGGAATGCCTTTAAACAGGGTTCAGTCTGTATATGACTCTAACCCTCAAACCAAGCACAAACCAAGCACAAACCAAGCACAAACCAAGCACAGCGTTAAAATGTAAGCTTCCAGGCAGACAGCCACCGACCGATATACAGTAAGGAGATGTAGTGTAGTTTTAAGTCCTGCACATATAGAGGGGTATCTTGTGGCTCTCTCTGAGTCTTTAGAGGTCAAGAAGCTGTTGTGCTCCCGTGTGATTTTCCTCTGTGCCTCACTCAGATTACTTCATTCAGTGTCACAGTTTTTAGGGAAGGGAGGAAGTACCCAGAGACCTTCGCTGAATGTTTCAGTTTTGTTTTACCACTGTAACAGCAAGTGGTAGGGAGCTATTTGAAAAATATGCAATGAAAGATGTTTTTGCTACTGAGCAGACCACGTCTAGAATTAAATTTGCACATAAAACATACATACATGAACATAAATGTAAATGTATATTATTGCACTTGCGTAGAACAGTTTTGTGATGGACGTTGAAGGGAATAGTTTTGACTGTACTCACACAATGTGCAAACATTTGTTACTGATGTTTTAAATGAGGTAATGGTAAATGTTAAACCAATTTTGTAATGTAATTTGCTTTGTAATGTCCATTACACAGCAATATCTGGCAAAAGTTTGCTTATGAATACTAGGCTAACTAATAACTAAACTAATAATTAGCTAACATTTAGCAACCAAAAGCTACTGCCAGACCAAGTGAGGCTGTAGCAGCAAAACAGCTGAATACAATGAAGTGAGCAGTGTTGCGTTTTATTGTGTATCAATTCAACTTTCCTCTTGTAAGAAAAGGAAAATGTTATTTCCTCAATGATCATTCTTTTTAACATGTCTCGCTTCAAACAAGACATGGTATAAACTACTAAGATAAATATATTTATTATTTAAACACTACTGGTACGATTTAAACATTTATTTTATTGCTAAATCTTTCATATTTGAGATTTTTGTACTTAGCAATGGGTCCTTAGAATTTCAAAACCTGTCTGTTGTTGTATATGTTGTATATTTTGCAAATTAATATATATCATTAAAAAAAAAGAAAAATGGAATTGAAAATCATAACGTTCATAACTCTCTTTGTTGATCCATGCATCATAGATCATATAATTTGAATTTATTCTTCCTTAGTAGGTCATTCCTTCATCAGACAGCCCTCAGTAAACCAGGTGCATCCTAATCAGAGAGTAGACAACACTATAAGAATCTTTCACCTAATCTGTCTGGTTTCTGGATCCAAAGTCTCAACGCTGCCCAGGATGACCAAATGAGTACATCTTGTTACACAAGGAGAGACACAAACTCCCATCACTCCAAAACCACTTGAGTGGAAATCCTGGACTCTCATCAAATATTCTTTCAGATAAACTAACTGGGAAACTGCATGAGGATTTTCATGCTGTTTATCCTAAATCCAAGGGAAACATCAGGATTCACATCTACACAGCATCTCTGAATACGATTTCTATTTTCAGAAAACAAACACTGCCAATACCTGTTACAAAGTGAACTGCTGTGACTTTTAGTGATACTGAAGGCAGAATATCATGAACAGCACAAAAGTCACAGAGCACAGTCGTCTGGGCGGATTAGCTGTTTGTGACCAAACCCTGCTGTTGCTATGTTGGGTTGTCAGGAAAATGTTTTTCATTTATTATACATTGACTAACACATGCCCTATAGTTAGTGAAATATTCTTTCTGCCCACAGGCTCCACCTAACACCACAATTTCACAGTTGTTTTCATCTGAGGTTTCATCACAGACTTTTAACAGCTGAGGGAGATGTGGCTCTGCATGCTGTGTTGAGTTATTTTGTTTTTGTTTTGCATGTGCATGTGTCTTGCAGTCAGCCTCGGGTCACTTTCATGCAGATCATGAAGTCTCTGGCTTAAGCTGGATCTGACACAACACCTGACCTAACAGCTAATTGCCTCCCATGATTAAGTCTACCTACAGGCCAGGTAGAAGCATGTATTCTTAGCTGAAATGTAAATGTAAAACATGTTGTTATGGATCACCACATGATTAGTCTTTGGTGTCTATGAGTCATTTTATGAGTCATCCTAGCCCTCTTTGCTCATACTGTAGGATTAAAACAACATGGTTTCCTGGCAACCTTTGGTGTTACACTGTATAGTTAAGCATCACTGATAGGATTTTTCTGACAGCCTACTTTAAGATACTTTCAGGATCTACATCTCTTTACTGTTGCCATCTCTGAGTCTAGATGGCACCAGGCTGCAGTCTAAACTGTGCGATATGGTGACCGTGAGCTTCCAGTCTCTGATATGAGTACTTTGAACTCCAGAGGCCTTGGAGTGCAGTTTGCAGTTTTCCTGTTGTGCTTGACAGGACTAGAAGGAAGTCAATTCAACTGGAAGGAAGCCAAAATAAATGCAGTAATGGAGTATAAACAAACAATGACAGTCTGTTTTTTCCAAGAAAGGAAACCAAACAAAGCTCATTACTGGAACCACACCCCATGGTATAAAAATACTGTAACCATACTCAGAACATGGTCTGTATTTACAGCACGGTACCAGCAGAGGTTTCTGTCGTCTAACAGGACGGACATAAATTCAGAACCCCAACCACATCCATGTCAACTAAATTGCTATCCCCAGGCCCTCCATCTTAAATTAGTCTTCATCAGAAAGGTGCGTCGAACTTAAGTACAGTACAGACAACACTGTAAGGACTCTTTAGCTTGAAGCCTGATGTGTCAGCACTCTTAATGTTATTATTTGTAAGCGTGAGGTTTGTGGGTTGACCTACAGAAATTATTCAGATTCTGTCTGCAACTGCAGTTTTTCGACAGCAGAGGTCACTGTTGTCTAACAGGACTGACATATTTACAACCCCCAACCTTAACTACAGTATCAAACCTTTGATAGTTAAAGTTCAATATGTAAATTAAAACTGCTGCAATCATTTGTCCTGTCCATATTGGTCATTAATAGATCATTTTCTGAGATGTTTCCGATGTAAGTGATGGATGGCAAAATCCAGATTCCTTGTTCAGTGTAATAATAATACATTTGAAAATTTATCTGAAGTTAAAGTTTGAGGCTTCAGCAGCTCGAGTTAATTCAGATAAAGTGAGAATTGTCCAAAATTAATGTGAAGTTTAATGTGTGTTTAATGTTTAATGATGTTTAGTGTGTATTGTGTTGAGTTTTGCTGTGTATTGCATTGCTCAAGTCTAATTTTGAGACATAGCAAGCAGGTCCAACCCTATTTTAAGATGGCCTTTCCTAGTGCTCTGTGAAATATGTGCATTATACAGCTGTTACTTTGTTATGTGTTTATATGAGTATGTGTGTGTATGTGTATATGTATATATGTTTATGTACATGTATGCACATTATATACATGTACATAGATATGTATGCTATTAGTATATAGCATTATTACTATTAGACCTACTTTTTCCACCACTGTTTATTGTTATGGCCAAGAGGAGTTTTGTTTGAATTGCATGTCACAGAGAGTTCATACTGTAGTACACCAGACGATGGCAGTATTTTAGCAGGAAACAAGTCTCCTCAAGTACTAACACTAATCAACATGACTGAACAATTAAGGAAACATAATGAATAATAACGTTTATTTGAAGAAAAAAAGATAACAATATGCTCAAAGTCAGAGGCGGTCTCATGAATTTAAAACAAATTAGTTACAAAATCATAATCACAAATATTTCAGGTTGAGATAACAATTTTTTGTTTTTCCTTAAAGTAATTTGTTATAGCTTTCTATTCCACTTCCGGTTATAACATATTCACTGAAGCTTACAAATGAATTCAGGCGTCACATAACGGTGTTATAATGAAATGCCATCAAATGATCTGGCTCTTGATGTGGCTCGAGATTTTGCCTCTTTTTAATTTTCGTACTCTGCTGACATTCAGACTCTTCTTTTTTGTTTGTTTGCTTTTTTGTTTGTTTGTAATTACTGAAGATCAGTTCTAATAATGCTGCAGGAAAGTGTGTCTGTAACCTGCTTCTTGCAGCACAACTAAACTTAAAATCTGTCAGTGCGTTTGGAAACTCTGGGTTTTTAAAGACAATAGACAACAGGCAAACCGAATGAGGTCAAAGATTAGGCTTGGGCCGGGGTAATAAATTAAACATGGGATTCTAAATTATGAATTTTCTTTGAGGGTGGAGGACCCGGAGCTTCTGTATCTTTAATAGTGAGGAGAGAGATGGGAGAGGCTGCGCGTTCACGGTTCATTTTCTCGCTCAGCGGCGACGGGAACGCGCAGTGGATCCCACTCTCGCTGGAGAGGAAAAAAGCGCCGTCGGATTGCAACAGCGACTCACCGGGAAAAATGTTCCCACCACCGCCCTTCATCCGCGCTGTCCAGGTCTGCAAAAGTCATGTGAAAGGATCCACAACACATGAGGACTCGAGTTTATTCGACCATTAAACTTGTTTCAGAGGATTGTGAACTCCGAAGGTGATTTATAAGACACAGGAATTGAAGTTAACATTGGACAGGTAAGACGATTCAGTAGTTACTCAGGTGGTTACTGTTCGTGAAAATAATGATAAAAAATAAATAAATAAATAAATTCCAAATAATGAGCAGTGTCCAAATCTAAGCTGAGGTGGAAGAAATCGCCCTGCAGGCCAGTTGCAACTCTAGTGAATCACAAGGGCATCTGTGCGTAAGTGTAGAAAGGTACAATGTACAGCAAATGGACATGTTGCCATTTAACTTTTTTTTTTTTTTTTTTTTTTTTTTAAAGTAAAGTGTTTCAAGTAACTGCAAAAATCTAAATGGTTTCAACACCACAGACAGCGCCAGTTTGTCCGCACCGGATTGTGGAAACGCGCTTAGAGCAGGAGAGACCACCTGACCCTGAAATTGCTGCAAAAAGATGAGACACAGCAAATGTGCATGGATATCCAAAACTCCTAAAATAAACGCTATAAATGTTGTTTTTGTTATGTGATTTGTGGGAAAAGGCAATGGGAAACTGTGTGCGATGCTTGCAGATATGACAGCAGCAGTTGTATTGTTCATATCGTGTTGTTGTTTTCAGCGTCTTTGCTTTTATTAGTTTGTAATGCAGTTTTGAAAAGTGCTGTTGAGCCTTTTAAAAAAGCATAACCTAGCCTACACATTTGAATTAATATGAGATAAAAGCTTTCACAGTACATATCCGCTGCTGTAATGGACATAATGGATGTTATGTAGGCATCTGATTTTTAAAAAAAAAAAGAAAGGAAGAAAGAAAGAAAAAAAAGTCATTTGGCTAATGTCTGGTAATTGATACTTGCAGGTGCAGAAAATGGCGAGAAGACTCCTGCAGCTCCTTGCCTTGTGGACTACTGTGATTGGCATTGTGCAGTGCTGTCCAGAGCTCTGCAGCTGCCAGGATAAATTTGCCCACCAGTTTGCAGACTGTGCTTACAAGGACCTGCTGGTGGTACCTGTGGGCCTCCCATCCAATGTTACCACCGTCAGCCTTTCTGCCAACAAGATCAATTTACTGAAAAGTAAAAGCTTCATCAATATCACTCAGGTCACCTCTCTTTGGCTGGCCCACAATGAGATCATTACCATAGAGACGGACACCTTGGCCCCCCTGATCCAGCTCCGCAACCTGGACATAAGTTACAACAAGATTGTGAACTTTCCATGGGAGGATCTGCACAACCTCACCGCCCTGCAGCTTCTGAAAATGAACAACAATGAGATGGTGAACCTTCCAAAGGATGCCTTTTCCACACTCAAAGACTTGAGGTCGCTGCGCATTAACAATAACAAGTTCAGCACCATTGTGGAGGGCACCTTCAGCGCTCTCTCCTCCATGTCCCACCTTCAGATTTTTAACAACCCCTTCACATGCTCCTGCAGCCTGGAGTGGCTGAGGGAGTGGATCACAACAACTAAGATTTCTGTCCCTGAGCCAAATTCAATTGTATGTGAGGCCCCTGAACACCTGAAAGGCACACTGGTTACAAAGATACCTAAACTGGACTGTAGGGCCCCTACTGTCACTATAACCTACCAGCCCAACATTGAGAACACAGAGCTCTATGAGGGTTTTATGGTCATCTTAAATTGTGAGACAAAAGGGAGCCCCAAACCACAGGTCAGCTGGGAGGTAATTGCAGGAAATCAAAACGATCTGTTCCCTCTGCCATCCACTGCAGAGATTAATGATGCGCCAATTAATGATAAAACAACCAACAATCGATTTCTCGTCTTTAGAAACGGCACTCTCATCATCCCTCGTATGAGTAAAAGGGAAGATGGAAATTACAGCTGCTCTGCAGTGAATGATTTGGGCAAAGCAGAGAGCAGTGTTAGAGTGGCTATGGCAGGCACCCAAAAACATGCCAGTAACTCAGTGCTCGATTCTACCGATGGCAAAATCCATCCGTCTGCTAAAAAGCCCACAGAGACCAAGCCCTCTAAAAACAATGTGATCGACTGGGCCAAGCCTGAAGAAAAGACAAAGGGCAGTCCTGAAGCTTCAGACAAAACTAACCGCAAGGATCCAACTGGCAGTTTTATAAAGAACCCCACCTTTGCAACCAAATGCGGTGTGAGAGAAAGCAGCGAATACATCTCCAACCATGCCTTCAACATGAGCTTGGAGGACCTGAAGCAGTACACCTTTGATTTTGGTGTTATTGCATTAGAGGTGTCGGAGACGGAGGCCAAAGTTCAGCTGAATCCGCTGCAGCTTCCCAGCAGCAAATCTAACCTTCATCTCAGTCAAACTGAAAACCAGGAAACAGTGAATAAAGAGCCCGTGGGGTTGTACCAGTCTTCATCCGGTAAAGCCACCCTGGACATGGTCTACCTCTGTGTAAATACAGGAAATGGACACTCTGTGGTTGAGTGGTCCAATATAGAAGAAGGGGTTAATGCCTACCACTTCCGTGGTTTACAGCCTGGCACCAATTACACACTTTGTCTCACCTATGGGGGGCAGGACTGCCAAGTCCAAGTGGTCTTCACAACTAGGAAGAAGATCCCCTCCCTGCTTATCATCGTTGTTGTCAGCATCTTCCTGCTGGCTCTGGCCACTGTTCCCTTATTGGGGGCCACCTGCTGCCATTTGTTATACAAGTACCAAGGGAAGACCTACAAACTGATCATGAAGGCTCACAATCCGGATCAGATGGAGAAACAAATGGCTGGAGACTTTGATCCCAGGGCGTCTTTTGTGGAGTCAGAGAAAACCTTCAACCCCAGCGAGTTGGGCGAAGGGGAGGGAGAGGCCGAGGGAGAGGAGGGAGACGGAGAGGGGGAGGCAGAGGGGAGCGTGGTGACCGAGTCCATCCCCGGTTCCTCTTCCAAAACCAACCAGGAGGAGTTCGAGATGGGCTCGGAGTACAGTGACAGATTACCGCTGGGAGCAGAGGCAGTCAACATCTCGGAGGAGATCAACGGCAACTACAAGCAGCCAAGCCGCTGAGCTCCGCTGATGTCTGCGAGTATCATGTAAAATATTTTACTTTTAAGTAGCCTACATTCAAGCAGGTAACTCACCCACCATTACTACACGTGAAAAACGACGGCGCCTGTTTAAAAAAAAAAGGTGGATCTTTTAATTTTTTTTTTTTTTTTTTTACCTCAGAAATTACTCCGCCAGTCACTGAGATTGTGAATTGATTCATGTGACATTTGTCGTTACTGTAAGGTTAAAATAGGTAACATACGTTTACAATGCAAGCACAGACTTCTAGTTTATCAGACCTCAAGACTGACATGAAAACAACGAAGTGTTCCCTTTCTGCAGGACAGACACGGACGGCGAGGCGAGCGGAGTTCATGCGTAATTAAAAGCAAAAAAAGAAAAAAATTTAATCGCCGGTTTGGAGAGCACAAAAAAAGCAAAGCAAAAAATAAGAATAAAAGTGCCATATATTGCAAAGCCATTTTAAACAAACTGGCATCAGGGAAAATTTGCTCTTTCTAAGCTGTGTGCGTCTGTGGATGAGCCTTCTCTAAAAGAAACCTCACACGGGCCAATTATCTTCTCAGGTGTCGGCACTCCGACTCCACTGACTCGTCCACGGAGCAGAAGCCAACAAATCTGGATGATGAGATTTGATGAAATGATACTATTAGATGCAGATAGAATATTTGATTTCGGCGTCACTGCGCCTGACATCGCACACAGCAGCGTCCTGCCCGCTGTCCTGTGAGTCCCAAAAGGGAAATTTCACCGTCAGCTGTGTTGTGCTTAACGGGACATCCCAGGTTCTTTACCAACATGTTGTTTCACGTAACGTATAAGGCTTTAAAAAATGTGCGATTTTAACCTCTTTAATCCACGGGTGCTTGCTATACTACTCTCGCTTTTTACAATGAACGTGTCCATGGCATGTCACACGTATTTCCTTGTGTGGTTTTTATTAGTGTAGTCTAGAGGACTTTAGATGTTATACTGTCAACCTGTGATGTAAAGCCATGTGAATTGAAATTATTCTTTTTTACGACGGTAAGTTTAACTGAAGCCTCATCAGAGAGGGCGCGTGTGAGCGTCTCACGGCTTCACTGTCTTGTAATTTGATGCATAGTGAGTTTTTGTGAACTATGTTGTAAAACAAGAAACCCCGTGACCTTTGGAGATTTTTTGATATAATTTTATGTAAGTGGAATTAATAAAACATATGAAACTATACAGACCGTTTTCTGGATTCGTCACTGAACTCGCGGACACAGAATGAGACACTCCAGGAAAAAAAATAGAGCTCAGGTAGCTATATTATTTTCTAAATTCATTTGAAATGAAAAAAAGTAATCACGCTAATATAATTTGATACAACCAATATAAGTTTGAAATGGATTCTGAAGGAGCTGAATTTGTCATGCTTTTTTATTCCCTCTCCTGTGTATTTTCTAACAAAAGAGGAAACGATATATAGAGTGTGATTTTTGAGGCGTTAGTGTGTTAATGCAAAAGGTAAACTGCTGCGTATGAAAGCGCCGATATAAAGAAAAAAAGAAAAAAAAAGACCTCCTTTGTCTTAATTTTCCTGTCGGTCCAGTTGAGTTCATTTCATTTCGCTCATCACTTCACATCAGCATCACACTATGCATTTGGAGCCTAAGTTTACCTACTCTAGAATGAAATATTCCATATTAATATAAGTGATGAGTGGGAGAAAAAAAATAAACGTTAGCTTCAGTTTTATTTTCACAGTAATCAGGAGGGAAATTTTATATTTTAATTTGACTTAAAAGTCGTAATTTTAAATGTCAATGCAGAGACAGACGGTGTAATGTTGGTGAATATCAGAAACCAGATAAGATTTTACACTGGTAGCAGCAAGTGGTTTAGGACTTAAATGTCTACAGGAAATATAAACAGTTTCATTTGTCTGGTAGTTCCTATTCCACAGGTTATTGTGAATTACGCAAAATGTGTACAATGGAAAAAAGAAAATGCATTACCCAGTCTATGAAAACAATTCATTCTGTAAAGTCATAAATAGTGAAAAGTTCTAAATATAAATACCCTCTTTAAAAAGGATGCTCCAGTGTTTTGCACATCCATGTGTTTAGTTTGGGCAACTACCATTCTGCATTATTTGCACTAGAAGATAATAACAACATATTGGAAAACACATGTGATTAACCTGCCGGTTGAAAAATAACACGAGTGCTTTCCCAAAATAAGCACATAAACGTGTTGAAAATGACGTGTAGTGAGTGTGTTTAGTTGGGAGAGCAGTGCCACACAAGCTTTCCCATCTGACTGGAGACTGTGGCTCTCACACTTGAAACAACCAGAGGAACATGAAGAGCACAAAGTAAACACACAATCTCCAGACAGACAGAAAAGGGCTTCCTGAATATCTCTACACGAGACACTGAGCTATAAGTGCACTTATTTCAACAAATGCAGACACATATACAGTAGGGATTGACAAATAATGTGACTGCAGAATTTGCCCAAAAACCAAGAGACACTTTGAATAAAATCCTTAATCAGGGTCACATTCGTGTTCAATTTCTGGCAGTGGCTTCTGCCTCCTTGGTTGCTGCCTCCTTTTTGCTCCCCTCCTTGGTGCTGCGGTTCAGGCTTCCGTTTAGAAAGCTCTCTGCAGTCTGACGCTGGAAGTGCTTCCTGGTGCCCACCAGGGAGGGGTTGTTGACCAGGGTGTACAGGAGCTGCCAGTGCCCGCGGGCCCTCTTGGCACTGGACACTTTGTGCTGTTTCTTCTCCTGCTGGACTAGCTGGATCCCTGCGGACAGTCAGACATCATTATAGCACCAAAGGTATGTCATATATACACAAGATGTATTCTGAGGATTTTTTTAAAATCTTAACTGGAATGGGAAAAGACTGTCGAAGGCCACCCGGGACCAGCTAGATACTACAGAAAGAGTAATAATAGAAAGCAATCATATTCTAATCCTCTAAGCATGGTACGAGCATATTGGGCTTGCTATTAACACACTGAAAGCTTAAGCCCCTTGGGCTACATGAATATGAAACAGGCAATTAGCGCAGCTCATATATGTATTCAGATACCCCAGAACTAATCTTTGTAATACAATAGATTATTCCTGATAATGCATTGTTCTCTAGATACAAACAGGCAACATCTCCACTGTGCATTTGTAATTGGACTCAGCTGTGACTATACGCCAGACAGAACTGGATTCCACAACAACAGATGAAGCCTGATGCATTTCTCACTATGATGTACGTTCACTTGTCACCAAACGTGTAGGCGACTATAACTCACCTCCTGTTTGAGTCAGTACCATCGCTGCAGAGCAGCAGCCGGCTTTGAAGTTGCTGTTCATATTTTGGGTAAATTGTTGTATATAAATGATATATTGGTTTTATTTGTATTGGTTAAATCTCCAGGACTACGCTGTCGCTTGGTGACAGAGGCTGAGGGGCTCACGCGAGTGTAGGCATGCCAGAAGGACAGCTGATTAGTTTATGACAGATTTGATTGAGACCAGTAGCAGGTCTGTAAATTATTCTAGGGCAAGACTCAATTTGCTCTTGACATATTAAATCAGAGCTGCCAAGCTCTTATTTCTTCTGTGCGCACAAGAAAGTGTTATGATCTGATCCTGCGTTACAGTGACCTGCTACTGAATTTTAAACCCCTCTGGAGAAATTAAAGATGCCTTTAATATAGAAAGGAATGTACTGTTTATCTTTAAAGGATGAGGCTCGCAATATTCAATATCATCCTTATTGTCACAAAAACCATCAATGATCCCACTAACAAGTACTGTCTGTGTAGTCAAAGCCTGATATAGCTCATTCCTCTGTGCCATAGACCTCCACTGATGTCAATATGATGTGGACGGAGTTTTGTGTTACTGACCCTCTTCAGCATCCCGTGACCTCTGTGCAGCATTGCTATCCTGGCCCACAGACTGCAGCAACATCCCGCAGAAGGCCTTCATCACAGGGTGAGACTGGCTCACCTCAATCTTCAGATAATGAGCATAGCAGCGGTAGGCTGCAGACAGACACAGGGAGGAGGAGGGGGGTTACTCTGACTGGGCAAAAGCAATAAACACATAGGACTGCACCCCATGTTGGCTTTGAGGCAATCACACATAATGGCCATACAATCACACTTCTTTTTTTCCTTTTTTTTTTAACCACCTGCTTTTCCTGACAACAGATGTCTTAAATCTGCAGCCGGCTCAGAAATCGGTGCGCAATTAGAGTCCCTTGCACTGCACAGAATACAGATATCATACGAGCTACAGTGAGGTGCTAGCGGGGTAAAGTGGAGAGGATACGCATTTCTGGCCTCTAAGTGGGATCAGTAAAAGTGCATTTACTCATAGAAAATTGCCTCTCTTTAAGCCTCCACAGTGAGAGTGAAAAAAAAAACAGTGACATCTACAAAGGCAAAAGCATGATGTTAATACCAATGAATAACATCATGTGTCAGACTAAAAAGAAAAAGGAAAATGTAAAATATAATTGAGCAATGTAATGTAAGGCTTTCATGTCCCTAGCAATGCTCTGCTGCTAGTTTTTATTTGAACAAATATATAATAGACCTAGAACTGGTGAAGGTGAGACCGCCACGCTACAAGCTGTTCATTACATAAAGAAATATTTTTATGCAGATGACATTGAACTTGACCTGATGCCTTGGTGTGGTCAGTGTGGTAGACAGTTACAATATGGCTCTATACAGAGAGCAGAATATCTTGCTCACCTGGGTCAAATGCCTCCACGTTGCGGTTAAGAAGACTGATGTCCATGCGTCCCATGTGAACAATGTTGAACAGGGCCGTGATGATCATGCGCCAGAGCGCCAGTAGCACCCCGATCAGAACATTGACTGGAAAAAGCAGGTACGTCAGCAGGAACAGATTACCCCTGTGAGATAGGATAGAACGTATATCAGGAAATCAAAACACTTAGAAACCACAAATAAGTGAACACAATACAGACAATATATAGCAACAAATATAGTAAACCTGTTGTCTAGGTCTCGAGTGCCCGCTGTTTTCTTGATGAAGCAAAACCTGGCGGTGATGTGTTGAATCAACACAGCCAAGACAATCATCAGCCAGAACGGCCTGAAGGGACAAAAATCAACCATCAAACATCTCCTGTGGTGATACAAGCCAGACAGAAGGCACTCAAAACATGAGAGCCAAAGTCATTTCTATAGAACATACATGTACATATACAAAGTAGCCTCAGTTATTCATCGACCATGAAACGTTTGAGTTCGTCCGATAAATTTTTGAAGCATTTTCATGGTCGGAACATTAAAATCAACCAAAACTGAAGGTTTTAGTTGCGCCAACAGCCATGTTATAAAAGGAAGTAATGAGTGAGAGATGTAACGATGCTCACCACATGCTCCACAGGAGCTGAAAGAGAATCAGATTCTGTCTGTGCAGGACAGGTATGACGATGAGGAAGACAGCGATCAGAAGGCAGAGGAAGAATACCAAGGTCTGGACGATCATGCCTGCAGGGGAAAGATCAGAGCTTCAGGGCCTCATGGCTTAGACCCTGTCCTGTATCCAACAAATCTACACGGCACACCGACTTCTCTCTCATGTCACACTGAGAGGAGGGGCGAACAATCATTCTTTTCACTGTGTAACCTCACAAACCCTGGTACATCTCTAGCTGGTCACTTGGTTGCTAGAGAGATGCATTTAGATGCATTTTAGTAGTGTGAACAGAATTACTACAAATAATAATGTAAAAGGAAATGATGAAAGCTTACTATGGCTGTTGGCCTAAGTGAGGAACTGCCGTTAGTGTTTTACCCTTAGAGTATCTATGATATACTGTGCATACGCACCCCAGTACTGTATTCAACTGTAGGACACTAAACTTAAAACATTTAGTAGCATCTCCTAAAAATCTTTAAAATCTTTGCTGTTTTCTTTCACTATTCAGTTTGTGCAGGGACTGTACCGATGCAGATGTGAGCAGCCGTAAAGCTGGTGAATCCCATCCAGCAGACCAGTGCTGGCCGGGAAGCCCTGATACTTCTCTGGCAGTTGTAAACATTATAGATGTCTCCTCTGTACAGCCCCTTTAAGTTTGACCTACAGCAAGAAAAACACAATCAAGAAAACGCAGGACTATGCAATACATAAATCACTTTATTGTTAAATGTACAAATTATATAGCAAATTGAAGAGGTAATTTAGCAGGGG